TGGGCCTGAGCTGCTGACCTCTGGCAGGCTGTGAGTTTCCTATTCTCTTTCTGGATCCAGTCAGTTTGACAGTGTCCACATCCTTCCTCACTTACAGTTCTCATAGTGGTGATTATTAGGGAAATACAATCAAGGTTTTTTTCTGGGTGAGACTGTGGGGCTAACTTCATAGTTTTTATTTTATTTATTTAGTGGGGCTGGGGTTTGAACTCAGGGCTTCACACTTACAAACAGGCTCTTTACTGCTTGAGCCATATCTCCAGTCCATTTTGGTATGGGGAATGGCAGAGTGGCTCACGGGGTAAGACTGCCTTCCCAGCAAGTGTGAGGCCCTGAGTTCAAACCCCAGTGCTAACAAAAAAGAAAAGAATACAGCCATTTTGGTCTGGTTATTTTGGAGATGGGGGGGTCTCACACACTTCTTGCCTGGGCTGGCTCGAACAGCTGTCTGCCTAATCTCAGCCTTGCAAGTAGCTAGGATTATAGGCATGAGACACAGACATCTGGCTGAACTTCATGATTTTTAGTGTAAACCTCTCACAGGACTGCAGCTTCCTGAGTCTCTGTTTTATTCATTGTAGCTGGAAGGATGGTTCCAGTTTGACTTTACTGGGGAGCAGAAAATCTCTAACCTGTGCTGTTTTAGTCCCATACCCACTAACCACAAGTGGCTGTTGAGCACATGAAATGGAGATGGTTTGTATTGAGAGAGATCATTAAATAAAACCAGCTGCGAAATATTTAGGGTGAAAGAAAGGTAAATTAGCAATTGTTTATATTTGACTACACATTGAAGTGATATTATTTTAGATATAATAAAATATATTATTAAAATTAATTTTACATATTTCTTCTCACTTTTCTAAATGTGGCTACTAGAAAATGTCAAACTGCATCTGTGGCTTGTGTTATTTTCAATTGGACCCTCTGTCCTAGACTGTTGAACTCTGGGAGCAAGGTAGTGTTTATCTTGCACACACATAGTTGGTACTTAAAGAATATTTTTCAAAGAAATTAATCTGAGCCTTTATTACTCAGAGTGATAAAATCTCAGGAATGAGTAGAAGCTTCTCTAATAGGAAAGCTAGTTTTTAAAAAGAAGCAGTTGAAAGTTGAGGAGTAAAGATCAGAAGTTCTTAAGATTTTTGCTGGAGGCGAGAAAAATGCTGAAATAAAATCTATGAGGGCCTTTGCTTTGCTTTGCTTACATACCTTGGGAGAGGGGCCGTGCTGCTGGAGGGGCCATGTAAGTATCCTGTGGGGTCCTCCTCTGCTCTGCCAGAGTCGTCCTGAGATGAGCTAGAGCTGAATGCTACGTTTCAGGGCGAGGAGGGCTGGAGAAACAGCTGGCAGACCTAATGGCCCCTCTTTGGGATGTTGTGTGTAGACACTCTGAAAAGTTAGTTATAAAAGCTATTGTCTCAAGAATCCACACGGGCCCTGCCTAGGCCTGGTACCCATTTAGACAGGACCCATCTGGAAGCCTGGGACTGCTACTGGGCCAGCAGACTAGGTGACCATACCTCAAGTCTTAGAGTTCTTTTTCTTTTCTTTTATTTATTTCTTTAAAATAAATAAAATTTTTATTTCTTTAAAATTTTTATTTATTTCTTTAAAATTTTATTTATTTCTTAAAAATAAATAAAATTTTTATAAATAAATAAAATTTTTATTTATTTTTATTTTTTGTGATGCTGGGGATTGAACTCAGCCTGTGCATGGGAGGCATGCACTCTAGCACTGAACTATACCACTAACCTGAATTTTGTAATGAATTATTTGTTGAATAAATGACTTAACAAATATTGTTTTAACTGAAGTAATAAGGTCTTATATTTATGGGAATATGGAAGTGCCTGAAATCTGTGTTAGGCAGGCTCCTACAATCATGGTAGATAAGCAAACTCTCCGGAGGTCATGGTCAGCTTGAAGAAGGGACCAGGTTGTTTTTATTCAAAGATATAAGTCATCCTGTCTCTCTGCTTATAAGACATAACTGTTAACTACCTCTGGTCCCCAGAGATGTGGTGGAATTGAGAGCTCTGCAGGAGAAAAGTGCTATTTCAGTGGAACTCATTAGAGGTAAGAACGAAACTCCTCCCCTGACCTCTGCAATGTTAGTTTTAAAGTAGTGGATTAGATGATCAGTTCCAAAGAGACTTCACCATTGTTATTTCTGCATTGAATTTCTCCACTATGGCAGTATTTAGCTTCTTCCTGTTAATTGTGGTCCACTGCCTTTTCTCTCTGTCTTTGGAGTAAACAATCCAGAGTCTTCTCTCTATGGAGCTCTGGAGCTTGTGCCTTGACTTGGCTGCTGCCTGCTGCAGGCTCTCGCTAATCAGAATCACAGCAGGGCTTGTTTTATGAGCCTGAAAGAACTCTTATTCCCAGAGGGCTGAAGTTCCTTACCTGCAGGGGAGCCACAGATTTCTAGTTTGAAGCCTGTCTGTCCTCTAGGATGCAGCTACCTTCACTTCCCCTTCTCACATCAAAACCACCACCTCCTGTTCTTAATGTCTATACTTCCTGGCATGTTAGTTCTTTTTCTTCTTCCTTTCTCTGTTTTGAGGGTAGAGTAGTGATGATAGTAGTAGATCTTTGCACATAAGGAAATAGTGTGTTCATTCGAGATTCTCTCCCACGGACACTCAGAAAAGAGGGAAGAATAGTGGGCAGGGCTCTGCAAATGGTATTGTCTAATGTGAGTTTTCTGACCTATGTCATATGCTCAGGCTTATTGAAGCACCTATGGCTGGTATGTAGAGCCAGCAGGATGCTGTTGAGAGGGAATGACTTTCCACCCCGGCATAGTGCAGTTCAGTGACAGTCACAAGGTGAGATATGTGACATCCGTAATAGAAATGTGCCTGTTACTACCGAACACCTTAGCAGGCTGGCAGTGAATGTGGCATCTTCTTCTGTTTGGTAGTAACGTACCACATCACACTGTACACTGCTGGTAGGCATAGTTGTCATATCAGACAAAGTAAAGCTCGTGGAGGAACCATATACAAATGTTTTGTTGAAGAATTCAGAATCACATGGATTTCCTCATAGAGATAATTTTGCATATTTGTTTATTACCCTTTATGGTTTATTGTTCTTTTACTTTAAAAGCAGCCATTTGAAGTTCACAGGGAAATGGATTATAATCCCCACTTCCAGTTAAGAAAACTAAGGCTTAGAGAGGTAGACAATGTGACCAAAGTCACACCAGCAGCAAGCAGATCTGGATGGTGATATTGGGCCCTTTGGTGTCTGCTTGCAGTGCATTCTCCTCAGCTCTGAAGCCCATTCAGTAGTGCCCTGTTTCATTCTCATTTATGGGAAACATGACAGTAAGAACTCCTCCACGGGTTGCATTGTAAAAGACAAAATGATTCCTCTCAGAGCATGGTGGAGTGAGCTTCGGACAAGGAGTCAGGAAGTGCCAGCTCTGTCTTCCAAATGCTAATGGATTTGTGACGTTGTGGGTTTTTAATTTTTAAATTTAAGAATATTTTATTTGATAAATAATAGCTATATATGGGGTACAATGTGATGTTTTGATGATTAAATCAGTCTCATTAGCAAGCCCGCCACCTTATATACTTTATCTTTGTGGAGAAACATTTAAAATCTATTTTTTTTTGCAATTTTGAAATACACAGCATTTTATTATTTGTTTTAGTCACCATTCTGTGCAGGAGACCACTAAAATTAATTCCTTCTAACTGAAACTTTGTAGCCTTTCATCACTTCTCCCTCTACCCCCAGCCCCCAACTTTTGATAACTACCCTTCTTCTGTTTGCTACTGAGTTCAATTTATTTAGATCCCACATACAAGTGAGATTGTGTGGTATTTGCTTTTCTGTGCCTGGCTTATTTGATTTAGCATAATGGTCCTCCAGGTTGATCTATGTTGTTACAAATGACAGAATTTCTTTCTTATGGCTGAATAGTATTCCATTGTGTATATATGCCACATTTTCTTTTATCTGTTCATCTAAGGACACTTAGGTTGCTCCTGTGTCTTAACTATTCTACATAATGCTAAAGTGAAATGTACTTATTTCACTTCCTTTGGATATATACCTAGAAGTGGGATTGCTGAATCATACGGCCATTTTATTTTCAGTTTTCTGAGAAACTTCTATGTTGTTTTCTGTAATGGTCATATTAATATTCATTCCCACCAGCAGCACACAAGGGTTTCCTTTTCTCCACATGGTTTTTCCTGTAGCTGATGGAACAGATGTGAGGTGGTAGCTTATTATGGTTTTCATGTGTATTTTCCTGATTGGTGATGATGAACATTTTTTGTGTGTCTGTTGTTCATTCCTATGTTTTCTTTTGAGAAGTGTTTGTAGACAGACACTATCTGATCCTAAGCCGGTCCTTTGCCTGGCCACTGACCTTCTATTCTTCTGTAAAATAGAATTTGAAGTACAGTAGGCGTTTGGCTTCTTTTTGTTTGTTTTGGTTTTGTTTTTGGTGGTATTGCGGTTTGAACTCAGGGCCTTGCACTTGCTAGGCATGAGCTCTAGCACTTGAGCTACTCTGCCAGCCCTTTACATTAGGCTTTTGGACCATACATATGTACTAATTTGTTTTTGAACTGCTTCTGAGTGACTATAAATAAGACTTTTGACTTAAAATCACGTGGCTTAGCATCCCTTAGTGTGAATGTTGGGGGTTGTATCTTGGGCCGTGAGCATCCCTATTCTAGGGTAGCTTTGTTCCTTGCAATTTCTATAAACACAGGAACTTTGTGAAGTGCTGGAACTGCATATGAAAACATTCTGTTAAAAGCCACTGTTTGTGGTGTGTTTACAGAGGAATCGCTAAGGGTCTGCAGAATGACCACTTAGAGCTTTACTTTATTCTGTGGGAGAGATTGTATGCCATGGCACTTTGCTACGAGGAAATCGTGGGACACTTTTAGAATATTTGCTGTTTATGCCTATCTGTTTCCTTCTGGTGCTAACATCCTGTGTTACTTTTCTCTTTTTCTCAGCCCAACAGGGGCACAAAACGTCCCCGGGATGATGAGGAGGAGGAGTTGAAAACACGCCGGAAACAAGCAGGTCCTCGAGAACGTGGCCGCTATCGGGAGGAGGAAGCAACTGTTGAAGAAGGAGACGATGACAAAAAAAGGCTGCTCCAGGTTATTGACAGACAGGGCGAGGAGGAAGAGGAGGAGGTAATGTGTGAGAGCTGGGCAGGAGCCCAGGCGGCTGGCCCTGATGCACCATCTGTAGAGTAAATGTGGGCCAAATAACTGAATACTCCCAGTTTCCCAGCTTGGTCTGTGAGATGGGGCTGAGAATTGTTACTTTCTAGTGTTGATATGAAGGTTAAGTGGGATAATAGAGTTTGGAAAGCATTTTGCAGTGTGTAAAGAACATCACAGATAGTTTTAAAAAATTATTCCGAATTATATGCAAAATCGAGGCCCTGTGGGAACAGAGGAAGGGCATTGGTGCTGACTGGACAGGGTCAGAGAAGCCTTCCTGCACTAACTTCTCTGAGAAGATGTAGAATACACTTGAGTTTTTAAATATATTTGAGAGTCTTTGAAAGAGGATTCAGATTCTGTCAATCAGACTAAAGGTAGAAGGTCTTTTGGGCAGAAGACATGGCCTTGGCCAAGCAGTAAACATGGTGAAGTTCAAGGGGTACTATGAGATTAGGTATTCAGGTGTGGTGGAAAAAAGACCAGTGTAGAGCTAGGCATGATTGTGTGTGCCTGTAGTCTCAGCTTTCTGGAGGCCGAGGCAAGTCGATTGCTTGTGCCCAGGAGTTTGAGACCAGCCTGGGCTACATAGTGAGATCCCCATCTCCGGAGCAAGCAAACACCACAATAGTTTAGGGAAGGATGCCTCAGGGCATCGGGTGCCTGTGCATTCACTCCTTCCTCTGGACCTTTTAATTTTTGAGCCCTCTCTCAGAATGTTCTTCTCGTAGGCTTTGCATGGGCTTTGCATGGCTCGTTTCTCCCATTCAGGTTTCAGGTCAGGTGTTTCCTCCCTCCAAGAACTCTGTACTCGTCTCTGAGGTAGCCCTGCAAGCCCTTCTCATGTTCTCTTATCACTTTATTCTGTATTTTTCACAGCATGTGTCATGATTTGAATTTCCTATTTGTTTATTTTACTCATTTGTTTTCATCTCCTCAGCCTCCCATGAAAACAGGGACTGACTCTGTTTTATTCACAGCTATGTCTCTGGCACTCAGAGTAATACCTAGCTTTTGATAGGCCCTGAATAAATATTTATTGAATCTATAAATGAATGAAGCTGAGAAGTGTGGAGGTAAAATGTCAGCAATTAAAAAAATGACCTTACCTTTGTGTCTTCTTAAATCCTTAAGTGTTAACATGTATGTTATTTCATGCTGGCATTTTGTTCAATATGAATTATGGAAATAGATCCTTAAGAGCCAGCTGTTTTCTAGTTCTCTCAAAGACATGATGCTAAGTTTGGATTTAAAAAATGAGGCTAGAGTGCAAATCTGAGAAGAAAAAAGTCAATTCATGTTCCAGAAGGGTCTTTGCTGTGGCATGACAATAGCTTTCTCCTCCTAAGGGTTTGGACCAGTGCTAATCTGGGGCTCTTCCCCCAAAAGATGAGGGCACTTGGGGAGTCTGTAGTGGGAGACAGCCCTGGATTCTGCATTTTCTGTTTAGGGCAGCAGCCTGGCCAGGGTTTACACAAACAGTGTGTGTAGCACATGCTCCCCCTTTTCCTTTCTTCTTCACCAACTTTTGCCCAATCTGTTCACCCTGCAGTAGCATGTAATTGGCAGGTACAATTCCTGTGTAGGGCAAGGCTGGTCCTAGAGGATTAGGCCAGTAGCTGTCATGAGTAAGTAGTTTCTAGCCTGGGAGACAGAAATGTAATGGGGACGAGCCCTTTTGTTAAGGGACAGGGAGAAAGAGATCACTTTGTAAAAATGACACATGGAAGGCTACAAGTCCAGGAGTTATTTTCTCACTGCCACCAAAGTCCCGTTTGATGAAAAACAAGTGATGCTTGCCCCTGTAAAGTCACGTGAACTTGTAAAATATTATTGTCCTTTTTGTGCTACACCACCAGCATTCATCCTTCTGAAACCTCCCTCTGGTTTCTGACGTTGAGCTATTGGACATACTGCTGTAGCCGATGACTAAGACTGATAATTCAGTTTCCTCTAGTGTTGGAGGGAAATTAGAGGAGGGAAGGCTATACCCTGGAGATACAGGGACTTTGGAGGTCCCATGAGAGCTGCATTAACGCTAATAGGGTTTTTCACAGGGTAGGAATGATGTTAGTGAAGGGAAAGTGGCTGGATAGGTGGCTTGAAAGTGAGTTAACCCTTTCCTAGAAATCTTGATTAATTTGATGAAACCCTAGTGGTATGTTGGGTACACTGTGCCTATTGCTATTAATAGTAACAACCTACATTAATACAGTTTACTAAAAATTTTATATACATAATTTCTCTAGGTCATCTCTGTGACCTTGAAGGATACAGGAAACATTTTCATTCCAGCCTTCCCTTCTCCATTCCTCCCTTCAGCAGATCTTCACTGGGTACCTGCTGTGTGCCAGACACTGGAGAATCAGCAGTGAACAAGTAGGCATGGGCCAGCAACAGGGGTATTTGCCCCTGGTTTGGGGCTGGAGAGACTATGTGGGCCAGGTCCTGCCAGGCCTTCCTTCAGTAGATTACGTGAAGGATTTGGGCTTTTATTATAAGTGCCAAGTGGATTTATTTAGTAGACTTATGGGGAAGAATTAACTGGTTAGGGTTTGAAGAATATATTCAGCAAAGTTATTTTGTTGTGTGGCTAGTAAGTAGTGAAGCTGGGCTGTGAGTCCTGACTGAGTTAGAACACTGACTTCAGTTTTACTCAGTGGGAGCCCTTCTTGGAACTGTAGACTCTGGGGAGGGACGGGGCCCACAAAACCTTCAGCTATAGCAGTCATTGATGCGATCTGAGAGATGCGTCATGCCCAAAATGAATGTATAGGTATCTCCCACTTAAAATCCAATGTATGAACATTGAGATTTATTAATAAATAATAACTAACATTTTCCAAGTACTTATAAAATTACTCAGTGCTTTCCAAAAAGGATGTTTCAGGTTTTCCTAATAGCAATTTCTTTATTGCTTTTAGGTGTGAGTTATAGTCATTGACTACAAAGTCTTGAAGCGTGGAGTTGGGAGAGTATTAGAGAGGCAGGGTACATTGTAACACATTAATTTAAACTGAAAAAGCAAACTGAAGATAAAGATTTCTGAAATTTTAGTGTAGCTTTTTTTTGGGGGGATTATTTAGTTTAAAAAATTCACTTTATTTGACTTTGTAGGTATTACTACAGTGTATGAAGTAAGAAAATGCTATATGCTGTACTAGTTTTTTAATGCTTTCTCTGGGCAAGTTCACTAAATTTCTTTATTTAGACAGGGTTTTACCATGTAAAGTGGGACTGGCCTTGAACTCACAATCCTCCTGCCTCAGCCTTCTGAGTGCTGGTTCTATAGGCGTGTGTCACCATGCCTGGGTCAAGGTTACCAAATTCTTGATACCATAGTAGGATTTCAAGTACTTGTGTAACTCCCTTTTCAGCAACTAGTTGACAGAAATGTGTGAGAAATGCAAATCAGTTGCTGTAGCTAATTCCTAGCAGTTCTTTGCTAGGGGCTTTGCAAAGACAGTAGCAGATGGATTTGGCCTGTGGATTGTAGTTGGCTGACCCCTGGTGTGGGTAAGAGATGAAGGACTGCTGTCACTGACTCAGAGTTTGATCTTGAACAAGTTCTTTTGAACTTCTGAGTCTCATCTTACCTGTACAACAAAGGAAAAGGGCAAGAGAAATGTTAAATAATAAAATCTAGTGTTATTACTCATTCTGTGCCACACAGTGTACCCAAGAATTGTTGGATGAGCCTTTAATACCTCAGATCGATTTCCTGTGTTTAGACCCAGGGCATTATGTGAGGCACCCAGAATGATACACAGAAGCATCCAGTATAGACCCTTAGCCCTCATTCTAGAGGGGGAGAAAAAGTGTATACTGTACTTTGAGCCCAGGCAGGTCAAGGGCAGTGTAAGGTGGAGCTTAAGAACCACCAGAAATAAGTAGTGTCAGTGAATATGAAATCCCTGTGTACTGAAATGGTTGCATTTGTCCCTTTGCCCCAGGAGGAACCACTGGATGAGAGCTCAGTGAAGAAAATGATCCTCACATTTGAAAAGAGATCATACAAAAACCAAGAACTGCGGATCAAGTTTCCAGACAATCCAGAGAAGTATGGCTCTGTTTTCCAGTTATCTCCTTTGTGATGTTGTTTGTTAATTTTGTTTTTTGTTTGCATTGGCTTTGTGATTTGAGTTAGGAGTCCCAGGATGTCCCCTGTTTGGGAATTTACTAGAAGGACTCATAGCATTTGGAGTCAGTGGGGCTGAAGGCTATGGTTTATTACAGTGGAAGAGTCCACAGCAGGATCAGCAGGAATAAGGCACTTCAGACAGTCTGGAGAAGTCCATGTGCAGGCTTCCTGTTCCCCCTCCACTGGTAGACAGACATATTCTATAGCAGTGAATTGAATCAGCATGTATGTTGTATTTCTTTCCAGGGACGCTTATTTGAGATTCCAAGTCTGGGGTATTTACATAGAACTGGTCAGATAGGCATTCTCTGGCCCTAATAACTACCAAAATTCCACACTCACAGAAGAAAAATGGCTATTTGGTGCCCTATGCTGCCAAAACAACCTTATCACTTATGGAAGTTTCAAAAGCCAAGTTCTCAGCTGCCAGTCTTGGACCAGCCTTATAAGCAGGCCCTTCCAGAGACCAGGCCTGCTATTAACTCCTTCCTGCATCATTCTTCTCAGTGCCCCAAGAAAACCACTCATGGCTGCCATGAGAGAGCTTGTCTCTAAGAAAATGCCCAAAAGCTTGGGGGTTAGACAAAAGTGATGTGATTCCCATGTGACTTTAAATTAGTCACCTCCTCTTTCTTAGCCTCAGGTGTCTTATCTATAGAAGGAAACAATACCTCCTGCACAGGGTTACTGTGAAGAGTAAATGAGAATAACGGCAAGTGCTCAGCTCAGGACCTGCACATAGCAGATGCTCATGAATGGAACCAGTTATGATTATTACTGGGAAGTGTCCTAGTGAAGGGTCTGGTGTTTTTCAGTCAGTCGTGAATTCTTACTAAAAGTTTTTCATATTTATACAAATTTTAATCTTCTAGATCTCTCTCTGCCTCCTATCTTTCTCCCATCCCAGATACATGGCGCTAATGCTCAGGACCTCTAGGCAATAAGAGTTGAATGATGCGGTGTTTGCACTCAGGTTTACACTAGGGAGGCTGACTGTAAATGTGAGGCAGAAGGAGATATGCGCTTTAAAAAGATGTGAGCAGAGTTCAGTGGGAGTATAGGGGAAGAAACAGACTGCCAAGTAAGGAGTTATTGAGGACTTCACACAAAAGGTGGTATTTGAGCTGGACCTTAAAGAATAACTTTGATTTTATTAGGCAGACAAGAACTTAGAAAGGCACTTGGGCAACATAAAGAACAAATGCATCAGGACATTAGAGGGCAGAGAGTCTTTACAGCACCCTAGGTAGGTCTGGGTGGTCCTCTTGTGTTCTGCCTCACTGTGGATAGGACGTGGAAGAGGGAAAACCTTGTTCCCGGACTGAGGGTCACATTCTCTGTGACAGTAGGAGCAACTAGATTGGGGCCCAGCTCCCCAGCACCAGTATCCTGTCTAGTTTTGGCTGACTTCCACCATATGTTAGCACTGGTTACACTGAGTTCTCTGTGTGTGTTGAGTTGCACAAGTAATACAAACATAGATTGTATTGTAAAAAAAAAAAAAACTAGTAACAGTGGATAAGTAGAATAAAAAAATGAAAGCTCTCACGCTTCACTGTATTGTTTCCTTTTTCATTCACCTCCCTAGAGGTCACCCTGTGAACAGCTTTGTGAATATCCTTTAGATTGTTTTCTGTACACTTATTTATATGTATATATAAATTACAAATTTTTCTGCATAAATCATACTGTACATATTCTGTACCTTTATATTTGGGCTCGCATAACAGGAAGTGTTTTCATGTTATTACCTGTATATCTGCCTTTTGTTTAACTAGTGCATAGTATTTCCTAGTTGAGAAATACCACAATTTATTTGTTTGGATGGACATTTGGTTTTTTAAAATATTGGCTTTTATAAACAATGCTGCAATGGACCTGTTTGTATATGTGTCTTTGCATGCATGTATTTCTACAGGATAGAGACCTAAATGTTGAATTCCCGGGTTGAAGCATGTACATGTTTTAACCTTCAAAAGCTAGTGCCAAATTGCTCACCACATCTTATTCTCTCTTCTACAGCGTCTCTGCTCACATTCTTATGCACATAGATGTGATCACTTTTAATGTCTTTGTCACTTGTTTTATTGTTATTTCTCTATCTGGTGGTTTCTGCCTTGGACTCTTCCTTGGGAGGTGGATTATGTCCAGTTCGTCCCCGTGGTGCCATGCTGCAGGTGCTCAGTAAACACAAGAGCTCTTGTGTAGTCCATGTTATCTTTACTGAGTCCTCATCACTCAGAACATAAGAATTCATTGTGAGGAAGCTATGCTGGAGGTTCATAACACTGAAAATGTAAGACATTTCCAGGAAACTTATTTCTTGGAATACCAGCCTTGCCTTTTCCCACTTGGTGTAGGTATCCTTCTGGCATTTCACAGCATTGTGCTTCTGTAGGTTTTGGTCACTATCCACACCTTGGATACCACTGATGCCCTGGTGTTACACTGAATAAACTGCTATTAAGAAAAAAAAATTTAAAAAAACAACAGTGTTTTCCATTCAGACAAAATTTACATGCTATTTTAGTTTTTAAATTCGAACATGTAAAAAGGGAAATTGTGCATAAAGAACTTCTTTTTTTGTCATGTCAGAAAGCAGTTAAGAAATCATACTGTGTTTTAACCTTGAGTTCTTGAATTCTTGCTGGTGTAGTGTCTTCTATAATTCTCCAGACCAGTGAGATGCAATTAAGATGAAAATTGCTAGAGCATATTTGAATGAAACTTCCCGGTTGAGATCAGAAATATTCAAATTTATTTTCCCACTTGTGCAATTGCCATTTTGATCACATACCCAAAAATACCTTTCTTCACTGGGCTGCGTTTCAGGCTCAGTTAGCGACAGCCTCCACCTATGTGATTCTTCTCCCAAACATCATACTGATGTTTCCCTCGTAAGTCCTTTAGTAGTTCCGTTTCCCTCATGTGTGCTCTTTCCCTTGTAAGTCCCTTAGTACTTCTCTTCATTTTTGGTTTCAGGACCCTTTGCATTCTTAAATTATTGAGTTTCCTGAAGTATTTTTCTCAGAAAATTCTAGAAAACATAGGAACATACGAGCACATAGTCCATGAGTGCAGTGATAACAGCACGTGTGTTGCATAGCCCTCTTGAAAACTCTGCTGTATACTCTTGAGAAAAAAAGAGTGAAAAAGGCAAATAATATCTTAGAATTTTTATAAAATAGTTTTGATTTGACAGATACCCCCTCCCCCAAAGATGTCCCACTCTCTTCCAGCTGCATCTTGGGGTATTAGGACCATACCTTGAGAAGTGCTGATTTAGTTGCATGGAGGGAGTGTCACATTCCACCTGCAGTGATTGCTGCCTGTAGTTGCATAGGACTCATCGGTTTCTGTTGGTTTTGTAGTACAGTTTTTGAACTTTGGGGTCACTTGTTAATATTCACTCTTGTGGCTGAAGGAGAGCTTCTTGCTTGTCTGAAGCAAATGTACATGGGCAGACTAGGAGAGTATTCTCTGTCCTGTCTCATAGAGTCAATGACCCCATTTCATCCTGGGTAACATTTTTAATATGTTTTTCTGTTGCTTTCTCACCGCCTCTCCCCTGATCCTTTACCCCCGTTGTGAGACATGTAATGCTGAAGGTATGCCAGATCCCTAAAGACAGCCCTCAGCAGTGTGTACATTAAATGAGTAGACTGTACTTTGTCAGCAAAAACAAGAAAATTGTCTTTGTGATGGCATAGCAAAATTGAGGGACAGATTCATTTGCACCTACTGTGTGCCAACGATGATATTATTAGACACTTTACGTATATTATCTCTTTTAATCTTCCTGTCATTCAACTTGGAAGATAAGGAAATCAGAGGTTAGGGGTGAGTTGTTAATATTCTGTTTTCCTTGACCAGATTGGGACTCTGTTGTGTGTTCCAGTGGCACTTCTCTTGGGCAGTGCCGGACATCCTTACTGAATACTGTGCAATAAATTGTTTAATTTGTGCTAGGCTGGGAGCTCTGTGATGCCAGAAACTGGATCTTTTTGCCATCTGTTATATTCTTGGTGCCTTGGACAGTGACTGGCACCTCATATGTGCTTGGTAAATACTTGTTGACATACTGTTCCTGGTCACACCCAGCTCCAAGTCTAGGCATTTCTTACTATACCTCATGACTCATGTAGTACTGGACCTAGTAGTATTTTTGTGATGTTTCCCTTCTTAGTTTGATTCTCTGCTCGTTTATTATATTTCAGGAGTTTTCTGACTTTTTAAATGTAAAAACTTAGGGATAATACCATATATTTGAAAGTAGAATCACAAAATTGGAAGGAACTAAGAGATAGTTCATTCTGCCAACTACGTCTTAGTGGTATTTGATTGTTTGTTTAGCAGTACTGGGGATTGAACCCAAGGGATCTAACATGTTAAGCCACCACTTTACCACTTGAGCCATGCCCCCAGCCCTTTTGTTTTTATTTTGAAATAGGGTCTTGCTACCTTAGCCTGAATTTGCTGCAAACGCAAGATCTTCCTGTCTCCACCCATCTTCCTATCAAGTGCTGGGATTGTAGGCATGTGTAATCATGCCCAACAGAGTATTTTTTTTATATCACCCTTTATTAACTACTCCCAGTGACAACAATCTAACTTCCCAGAGAAATGTGTCCCATCATTTGGCAGTTCTGAGTCAGATTTCAACTAAGAATGAGAAAAAATTTCAGCAAATTCTTGTATGAAAGGTAATCTAGACTCCTCATAGTCTCAGTGGCTTCCCAGAATTCATTTCTACAACCTCTAAAGTGTGGTTATATATATACACAAATGTCACCAAGTCTTAGGGTCACCTAGTCAGCATGAGAACTCTATTGCCTTCTTTTGAGAGCCTAAGCCCACACTGGTGGGCTACTTTCCTTTACTCCTTCATTTGACTTTTTGGTTCAATGTAGTGTTCTATGTGGAACCAGGTAATTTTCCTTCAAGTAGATTTGGCATGTCATTATTGCCTGTCAGAGATTTTTTAATTGATTCTGCCTGCTGCTGTGTTCACTGTCTGTCTAAGCTTTGTGTTACGTGGCATTTGTTAATTTTGCCTTTTTTATATCTTCACCCAATTTGTTGATTAAAGAATGACAATAAAGTAAGACTGTTGCTCTAAACAGGTCTGAAGACAGAGACTTGCAGGACACCATCAAAGACTTCTCTCCAGGATGACACTCATTCACTGATTATCACCCAGTCCCCAAATATTCTGGTTCTCAGCACAGTTTTGTGTATTACTATTTAGTGCCAAGTCTCCCTTGCCAGTTCTTCGAGGTGGATTGTAAAAGTCTTTTGTCAGGTTACTCTTTAGAAATATTGTAAAAGTACCCATGTAAGACAAATCATGTGAGACAAATAAGCCTTCAAGATTTGCTGAGCCTGTTTGGGTTCAGGTATTATATGGTTCTGCTGCCCATGAGATATATGAATCCTTCTGCACCAGCCCTTTTTTGTTTGTGCTGGGGATTGAACCCATGGTCTTGTTAATGCTAGGCAAGTGTTGTACCACTGAGCTATATCCCTAGCCCTATACAAGCTCTTCTTACTCATGATTCTGATTTGGCTTCCACACTTTAGGTGATAGGGAACTAACTATTTAAAAATATAATCTATTGGTGGACTGGAGGCATGGCTCAAGCAATAGAGCTCCGGCTTAGAAAGTGCCAGGCCCTGAGTTCAAACTCCAGTACCACCCCCCAAAAAAAAAAAGTGATCTGTATGCAAGCACAGAGGAAGGAACCTAGGTTTGGTGGCACATAACTGTAATCTCAGCATACAGGAAGCTGAGGCAGGAGGATTGTGAGTTCAAGGCCAGCCTCAGCTACATATAAAGACCCTTCTCAAAAAACCAAGGGCTGGCGATGTAACTTATTGGTAGAGCACTGTGTACAAGGCCATGGATTTGATCCCCAGCACTGCCAAAAAGAAAGCAAAAAAAGGAATAACTTTTTTTTTTTTTTTTGGCACTGAGGGGTTTGAACTCTAGGCTTAAACCCCCTGAGCAGGTGCTCTGCCACTTGAGCCATGCCTCCAGCCCTTTTTGCTTTGATTATTTTAGACATGGGTTCTCGCTTTTTGCCTATGCTGATCTGGACTGCAGTTGTCTTGTTACTGTGGGAGGTCTCAGAAGACTGGTTGAGAATATCTTAGGTCCTTGGTATCCTAAACAAAGAATGTAATGGAGACACACACATTGCAAAGCAGCAGCAGCAGCAGCAAAGTTTTATTGGAAGTGAAAGCAGAAGGTATGCTTCACAGGAGGGGTATGAGGTGGCTCAAGAGCAGCATCTGCAGCTACAGAGACCTGTTGCCTTGGTTCAGGTGGGAAAGTATACACTGTAATGGGTAATGGGGGCGGGGAGATTTGGGTGATACTTAAGAGTGGCATTTGGTGATTGACAGATTGGCTGTGTATGCAGTCCACATTCATTAGGCTATAATTAGAGGATCTGGGGCAGTAGGTTACTTTGGGGCAAGATTTTTTTACCTTGTGAACATACCCTGGTTTGGGTAAGTCCCTTGTAGTCAGTCCTACTGCTCACTCAGTATGCTCTGGTCAGTTGTTATGGTAACTTTTACTGCATAAGGGCATTTTGGGGAGGTTCTGGGTGGAGTTAGACCACCTGTTCCTCGCAAGATAATCTGCGAGGTGGCCACCTGTTCTCCATGATCTGGTTTGGCTTCTTTCCCTGAGTGTCCTGTCTCAATCCTATTTTATGCTTTCTGCAGTTGCTGGGATGGCAGACATGTACCACCATGCCCAGTTTTTTCTCATTGAGATGGGGTCTCACAAATGTTTTTGCTTGGGCTGTCTTGGAACCGCTGTCCTCCCAGTTTCAGCCTCCCATGTAGCTTGGGGGTGACACACACACACCACATCATACAGCTGTTGGTTAAGATAGGGTCTCACAAAGTTTGTTTTGTTTTGTTTTGTTTTGTTTTTTAATGCCAGGGCTGGCTTAGAATCATGATCCTCCTAGCCTCCCACGTAGCTAGGAGTACAGGTGTGTGTCACTGGCATCTGGCTTAGGGGGAGAATCTTGATAAAATAATTGTGAAGTTTACCTTAAATGAGTAGATGAGTAGGCAAGGAAACATTAGGAAAAAAAAAAGAATAAACAAGGGGATGTTTTTGCAATAACAGATGTAAAACATACTCTGAAGCTGGCTCAGAAATTTGCAGATGAATCAGTGAAATGGAGTAAAAAGCCCAGAAACAGATGAACTGTGCATAGAGTTTAGTGTATGACAGGTGACATTTTTGCAAGTGTGGGAAAAAGATAGATTATGGTATTGGGGCTGTTGGCCAAACATTTATAGCAAATAAAGTTTGACGTTTGTCCTATATCATCTGTTAAAGTAAATTTCAGATTGATTAAACATTTAAATATGTATAAACATAGAAGAAATGCATCAGATCTTAGCACAGAAAAGACTTTGCTCGGGGGCACATGTAAAGTAGTGTTCATAAAGGCAAATATTTGATTATCTGAACTTTTGAAACCTTTATGTCAATAAATAAGTACCATTATGTCAAAAAGCACAGTGTACAAATTTAATGGCAAATACTTCTCTTTGGTTAATTTATTTTGCAACAGGACAGTAATTTTCTTTTTTGTTGTTGTTGTTTTGGCAGTAATGTGGTTTGAACTCAGGCCTCATGCTTGCTAGCAAGTGCTCTACCACTTGAGCTACTTTACCAGCCTGACATTAATTTTCTTAAAGGCATAAAGTAAGACCCTATCTCAAAAAGTAACCAACACAGAAAGGGCTACTGGAATGGCAGAAGTGGAGAGTGCCTCCCTAGCAAGCACAAGGTCCTGAGTTCAACCCCCAGTACTTCCAAACTAAGTAAATAAATAAAAAGGTCCCTGCTTTTATTCCTTTTCTTTGTGGCCTCCATTCAGTGAAGTGGGCATCTGTGGATATAAGAAACAAAAGATAGAGGCCCTGTCTTAGAAGATGGCCATACAATAGTAGTGTAGTAGCAAGTGCCATAGCAATGAAAACAAATACTCAGGGCTTCTTATATTTAGACTTTGCTCTAGGTGTTTTATATGATTTTCCTTTTACTCTTTATGGTAGCACTATGGGACAAATAATATTATTGTCCCCATTTTTAGATGAAGAAACTGAGCCATTGAGAGGCTAGGTGGCTAAGCCAGGTTCAATCAGTTTTTTTTAACCACTGCATCTTCTCAGTCTAATAGAATATTGTTCGATGCTTTCCATGCATTAGCTCATTCCCTTCGTATTACAAATTTTCCTGCCTGTTCATCCAAGGCAAAATGGCATTTCTTAAATATCAGACACTAGAGGAGGACATACAGAGGGTGTGCAAAGCATTCTGTTCCTGGCTCCTGGGCAGAAGTTTGTGGAAAGGTTTAGAGTGAACATGTAAAAGAAGTGTCATACTGCTGAAGGTTTGATGGTAATCTTGAGGTGACTAGGTCAGCCTGACCTGGGACCTGCCTCAATCAGCTCACTAGAGAGTGGGTGAGGGAAGGGAAGGAATTTGGGGGGAGCTTCAGGATCTCACTGTCTTCCTTTGGGTAAGGGAAATAATCGGCTCTTGATCTGAAGAGGGGAGTACAAGAAACCCTTTTTGGATTAGAAGGATAGCTAGTCGAGGGCAACAGTGAATTGCCACCCCAAGGGGTAATGGCAGCTAATCCATGGGACTGGCGGGTACATCATTTATTGCTGCAAAATGCTTTGAGGGCCTTAAAAGGCAGCTATGACTGCAGGAGTAAGGGGACCCCTGTAATGAGATCTGAATCCAAGATTGATTTTTGTAATGAGGAAATCGATTTCCCAAGGAAATTGTGTGACAGTATGATGTTCGGATGAGTGTACTTCTTGGTTGGTCTGTTGTAGACACTTTGACAGATTGTCTCTGTCTGGATTGTTGTGTTTGCTTCTGCACGCTGAGAGTGTCCTTTTTCTATGAATAACGCTGTCTTGTTCTCCCTTCCTAGGTTCATGGAATCTGAGCTGGACCTAAATGACATCATTCAGGAGATGCATGTGGTGGCCACCATGCCAGACCTATACCACCTTCTGGTGGAGCTGAGTGCTGTGCAGTCACTTCTCGGGTTGCTGGGACATGATAATACAGATATCCTTCACGTCTATCCTCAGTAGAAGGCTGATACAGGGAGTGGGGGTCGGAGGGCGGGGAGCAATGCTGTTTACTCTCTTTCCCTGCCTGTCTCTGCTGATGTGTGCTGTCACGTCTGGTGCTCTATTTCCATTCTAATTATCTTCCATCTTGAAGCAAATGCTGCTCTTTACTCTTCTGAAAATCTAGTTTTTACCCACTAACAAACCTTGGGCAAATCCTTAATTATCCTGTTCTCTCTTATTAGCACTAGAATTCATCTTGAGGTATCTGTTTGTACATTAGCAGCATTAATTTCCAAAATCTGAATTTGTAGATTCCTTACTGAGTCAGGGCCAGGCCAATTTGAATATGTTGATCTAGACATCATTCTGCTAACAGATGGCCCAGTGGAATTGAGGCTAGAGGAGTCAGTGAACCATGGTAGAAAGCACATTGGGATGTCCAGAGGATAGGGAAGCTCATTTGTTTTGTCTACTGCTGTATTCCAGTTCCTTAAAAAAAAAAAAAAAACGGGGGAGGGGGGACTGTTACCCAATAAATAGCATTTCATATTTGTTGAATGAACATTAAACCTAAACAGACAAGCTAGGTTTCACTCCTAGCTTCATTTCTTATGTAAAATGTGGTGCCCCTCCATCCCTTGGTGTTCTCATCTGCAGAAGCAGAGTTACAACTTTGCCTTTTGGTGTTATTGAGAGGATCAGAGAAGGTGTAGGCATGCTGAGCACATTTCCTGATATATAGTGGGCACTTAGTAAATGTTCTTGTAACTGAATTTGAGTCATGGCTTCCATAACCATTTTATACTTTGTCTTTGCCATCAAATGGACAGTCATTTTAATGTAAAAGGTTTTGATGTGCCTGTGGTTGGGGTTATGTTCATTAAATCAGATTCTCCTCCAATAGTTGTTCTGTTTGAATCCAGATTTCCAAAGGTAGGAGACAAATGTAGTTAGTCTGCTTGAGTGATATTCATGGGAAATCTGTGCTGCTTCATGTTATTTTCATCTTTCTGGTAATCTCTCTCCTGAGAGCATGTCTGACTAGGTTTTTTCCTGCCTGATAATTCTCATAGAGATAAATCAGTGAGTAATTTTAATGCAGGCTTCTTGAAGGGCAATCTTAAGACATTTCTGGTGCTTCATGTAATGTTAGCTAATAGTAAGAATCTTTCTGCCAGTCCTAGATTGTTGTGACTGTGTTTGCCAGATATGCTGTGAGGCTCTAGGTTGTATGAGAACCCTAGTCAACTAGCTTGTGAACTTGGTACATGGTTCACAAATTTGCTGAGTGGATGTGTTGAGTATCTTTGCAAAGCAGGCATGGCGCTGGGTCCTGAGGAATCAAACACTGTACTGAACACTCAAGCAGCATCACATCAATTAGTGAATACACTGGCTATTCCCAGTGTATTTGGGCTGCTGTAACAAAGTACCATAAACCAGGTGGCTGGTAAATGACAGAAATTTGTTCTACAGTGGGAAGTCCAAAATCAAGGCTTTGATAATTTTGGTATCTGATGGGGGCCTGTTTCCTGGCTCATAGACATCCATTTTCTTGCTATGTCCTCATGTGGTGAAAGCTTGCTGGGTCTCTTTTTGTAAGGGCACTAATCTTACTCTCTTGCATGAGGTTCAGAGCCCTCACGACCTGATCACCTCCCAGAGGCCCTACCTCCAAATACTATCACATTGGGAGTTAGGTTTCAGTGTGGGAATTAGGAAGAAGGTGTGAACATTCATTCAGTCTGTATCTGGCATATGCCAAATAACTGGTCCTATTCAAGGTACTGCGTGGTTCTCAGAGATTTAGGACTGAGCATTCTAGTTGTGACTTCACCTTTTCGGTTCACCTGTAAAATGGCAGATTTCAAATCTCATCAGACCTTAGCAATAACTTAGCCTCGTGCCTTATTTGTTTGTTTCTTCTGTGGCAAATCTGAGGCCAGATGCCAGACATCTAACTGTGGATGTCGAGGTTGGCAAACCAGGCTTCTGGTCCCTAGTCCAATGTCCCCTCTACTGTACCTCCAAGTGCACAGGTCCTCTGTAGGATTTATCACATCTTTGACACCCTTGCTTGGTTACCTGTTACTTTGCACATTAATACCAAAGTTACCTATTTTGTTTCTGGAAACACAGCTCTCATTCTTTTTTTCTCTTCCTGCTAACTCAAAACAATAATAGTTCTCCCAAGCTGCTGACATTTCGCTGATCCACCACCCCTATTCCTGCTGGGGAGAAGACTGACATGAAACGTGTCACTCAGTGTTGGCTTACTTGGGAAAGGCAAGGGCACAGATGTTCCAAGTTGTTATGTTCTGGTCTTTAAAAAGGAAAAAACACATCTCCTATAATATCTTTGACAGACTGCCATTTCCCTCCTGTTTCCAGAGAGCTAAACTGTTTTTTCCCCTCTTCCATGCCAACCTTCACCCAACTGCCCTAATGATATTTTTAAAAATCTGATTTTTAATTATGCCCCACATCACATTGAAAGTGCATTTGAAATTTTTTTAATTACCTTAATTTTAATTAGATGCAGCAATTAGGATAAATGTCATCTTTCACAGTACAATTTTTCTTGAAAGTGATTTCGGGAAAGGGTAGGCCTCTTGACTTGCAGCTAACATATCCTCCACTGGTCGGAGTGTTGATCCCCCTGCAGTGTTGCTTCTTGTCTTATCTGTGATCTATAATGGAAATTTTTCTTCAGGAAACGGTTGTTAACAATTTACAGTTGTACAGCTGTAACTGCCCGAAACACCTTTCCATGAATAAACAATTTCATGGCAGTCATGACTAAATTTTTAATCTGTTTTAACTCTTCATTTGTCACCCACAACCATACGTGGGTGGTTATGTTCCCAGCAAGCATGGGTCATCTTTGCTTTGTCCTTCTCAGAGAAAACATAAACTGTAGGGATTTTAATTGGATCAGAGGCTGATTTGTTGTAACCTTAAGAGGCAGCGAATGTGAAAAAACAGCTTGTGTCTTGTCCTTTCAACCGTGAGAAGCTGCCTCAGTGTTGATTCTGGTGCTCTGCATCGCTGCTGCTAGTGAGAGCTGTCAGTGTTTCTTTGCTGTCTCCCCCCTAGAGGCTGGAGCCCAGCCGTGGCCATGGGTTGGCTGCAGCGTGGAATTCTGTTCTGTAAAGAGCTCCTGGGGGGAGAGGGAGTACACACGTCCCACAGCACTGAAGGGTTCTTCTAAGTGCCTTTGTAGGGAGCAGGGAGCATAAGGAGGAGTCCAAGAGCTGCTGTGTTTCCAAAATGCAACTTTTAAAAACAACTTCCTAGAAAGTAAACCATTTAAACATGTTTAGAGCCCCCTTTGTGTGAGCCATTTGAAGAGCTTCTGTAGAAAAATAAATCTGAAAGTTGCATCTAAAGATTTTTTTCAGGCTTGGGTTGTGACTCATTAGTAGAGTGCTTTTCTAACATTTGTGAAGATGTGGGTTCTATCCCTATTACCTCCAAAAAGGAAAAAGATTTTTTAAGGTATTGATTAAAAAAAAAATTGTGGCCCGACTTAAGCCAGATTTTCTCAATTTGCCTAAAGCAGACAGAGAATAAAACAAGAAGATAAAGTTCCAGATGGTGGCTGATTACCCCTCTGCTGTTGGAAGTAAAGAAATTACCATGACACCAAATTAATAAGTATCCTGTTTTTATGTCATTTGCCATGTTCTCAGGTTGAATGAGAAGTTAATGATTGAGTCCTTGCTCAAGTCATTTTGGTAGATCACTGGTGTTTATTTGGCTTCTCCTATAGTATGATAAGCATGTTGTATGCTAATGGAGAAACAAGAAATAATAGCTATAATTGAGCAAAGCACTCAGATTACTACCCCGTGGCATGTGCGGGAAGAGCCTCTGGAATTCTGCTCAGGAAATGCCATTAGAGCTCTGGTGAAGTGAGGGTCATCTCTGGCTTGGGTCTGCTCAGGTATTTGGGGATTGGAGATGGGAAGCTTCTGATGGATGTGGAGATTAAAGGGCATTTCAGGTTTTCATGGTCTCTACCTTTGCAATGGAAACTGCTATTCTTCATCTGCTGGAAACTGCTGAGGTCTTGCTGACTGTTCATGTAGTCACTACAAACTTATCAGGATATCAGGTCCATGCTTTTATTTATTTATTTTAAATCATGACTACTGCTCTGCAGTTGTTCTTAAATAGAAAACATCAAGTCATCTAAATCAAACTTATTCAGTCTGCCTTCTCCCCACCTTTGATTCAAAAAAATGAGATCTCATTGTAATGTTAACTTATCAGTATAGTGTGTTACATTCTAAACTACAGGAAGGGAGAAATTTGTTACAGAGCAGATCATTGGTGCTAATGGGACAGCTCCTTTTTGTGTGGAATAATTTTAGGGAGTGGTCATGATCACTGTTTTCTAAATTACTGTTCATTTTTCTCAGACTCTAGAAAGCCAGGAGAACTTATAGTAGGGTTGTCCAGGTGGATTTTGTGAAGAATTACTATGGTGGGAATTTTCAAAAGAAGGAACAGACAGATTTTTCTTAGACCAACAGGGATCAACTGAACTTGAGCAGAACAAACTGACTGAGACACACCATATTATCCCAAAGGTTGTACACAGTAGTCAAGGGTGCCTTGTGTTACAGACCCACTGTTAATGAACAAGGATTGGGCTGGGGAGGTTTTGAGTTGCCAAGGGGCTTTTTTCTAATTGAACTGGGAGGGAGTTGGTTCTTACTCCATTGTTTCCCTACAAGCACTGTCTAACAAGACTTGCATACCATGGGCTGTTGTTTTTCTAGGAGCTACTCTCATTTTGATAGTTCCAGAATAAAAATGACACCTAAAAGAATTGACTTCTTTTTCTCATGTGTCAACTGACTTCCTTGTTAATAGGTATTGATGAGCCACCCTTGTTTCTGGAGCCAGTTAAATATACTCTGAAAAAAGGCAGATTAAGTTAAAAAGAAAGAGCGAAAATGGTGATTTACAAAAAGGCCTCAATATAACTTTTGATCTTGTTTCTGGGGTTTAGGTAAGTCTGTGTCTCTGGGAGGTGAAGGTAGTTACAGCCCACTTTGGACCTTTCCCTTGCTGTGGAATAGTGTCTGTAGCACTAGGTACTTAATTCTGAATGAGTGCATCTTCTCCTTCATGTTAGTTTGACCTAAGATTGGTATAAAATTCAGAGTTCAGGTTCAGTGTAGGAAGTTTTGTGCCAGCTGTTTTTAAAGGAGAAAGTGACCATTTTGTCTTTGTTGAAATTCATCTGCATTAATTGAATGTCTAATCATTTTCTTACCTAGGAATAAAAGAAAAGCATTTTTTATAAAACCCACATTGTTGCACTAAATCAGTTATATCCTCTGAATCTATACTGGTTCATTTTCTTAAGAAACCCTTTTTGAAATGACTTTTAAAAAGCCATCTGCTTAAGGCATCTTATTCCTCTTCCTCTTTTTTTTTTTTTTTTAATATCTTCTTCCTTGTGGACTCATCTCAGTGGAGATTAATAAGATTAACATTCAGATGTGGGATCAGGCCAAAAAACAAATATCTAGAGCCAAAAAAATAGAGGTAAACATAACTCCTTGTCCAAGAGCCATTGTGTTATGGACCATTTTGTGCTCAGCTGGTCTTTTCTGTTGCACTGCTATTACACTAGCTTATTGCCCCAATAGTGGACAGGTACAGAGGGAGTGAGTAGGGTGGCCTTTCTACTCAACATGACAAAATAGGCTATCAAAAACTGTGTTTTAGTAATTCACAGAGAGACAGGCTCTCTGTTTTCCTATTACACTTGGACAGGAGAGCTTTTACCTTGTGAAATGAAATTGTAACTACAGTGGAAAAGCCTATCACCCATGCCCAGCATCTGCTTGTGAAGAAATACTAGGTGGGTAGCAGAACAAGCTGAATTTTCTTGTCAAGATTGAGGTTTCGTTTGTCTTTCGATCTTCACTTCTGGTTCTCATTCTTCTTTCTGATGTTCAAATGACCTTCTGTCTTCTAGGTCATGTTACGTTACCTAGGGGTTGATGGTCACAATTATTGACTCAGTTCTGCCTTGCTGAAATGCTATTTTGTGAAAGGTAGGATTTATGTAAATTCAGTTAGTGGTAAGATTGATGAGATGTTTGGCAGACCTGGTGAGTATCTGATTGCCTGTTTGACTTCTCAACTGAGGCAGGAAAGTAAGCAAGGGTGATTCCCCTGGAACATTGTAAAAAATGACTTTTCTTAGTAAAAGTTAGGCATTCATCCTGTTCCCATACAAAATCACCACCGTTATCAACCCCCTCCCCCCAAAGTTCCTAGATTTAGCATGACACATTTATGCACTTGGTATAAGACTAATCAAAGAAAAGTAATATCTGGCTTATAGGACCTCAGAGGTTAAACAAGGACCTGATCAATCTGAATGTCTATAGGTATAACTGGAATAAAAAGTTAGATCTTATATCTCATTGTGACCCAGAAAGGAGGGTAATGCTGTCCTTAGCTTAAATTTTGGACTTTAGAGGCTTTTTGGAAAAACAAAGGCAGTAAGTGAGGGTTTCAGACATTCTGAGAGAAGACTTGACTGTCTGCATTCATCTCTGAATATTTTAACTCCCATGGCCTTTGGAGGTCCTGACCTCTTTTGTTTCTTATAGCTATGTAGGAAGATTGGCTGGGCAGAGACCATTACTCACTCCCATTTTACAGATAAGGAAGCTAAGCTGTAAGAAAATAGAGGGGCTTGCACAAGGTAACATGGTTAGTAACAGTTATGGGATCATTCATTTCAGTGAAATTTCTGTCCTCACACTTTCCCAGACTCCTCGTCTTCAGGCTCAGATACTCCTTATCTTGAAATGGGGTATTCCTGATAAGTCCATCATAAAGGGGACAATATTCTAAGTTGAAAAATACATGTAATACCCCTATGCTACCACACATACCTTAGCAGCACAGTAACTGTAGCATATGGAGGATTCAACCTCATGACCACCTGGCTCACTGGGAGCTGCAGCTGGCTGCCACTGCCCAGCCCCAGACACAGTATTGCACTGCATATCAACACCCTGGGAAAAGATCAAAGTTCAAACTTTTAAGTATGGTTCTACTGAATGCATAGTTTTTGTACCACAGTAAGGCCAAAAAAATCAAAAGTCAAACCATCTTAAGTTCAGGCCATCTGCTTCAACTTGTGTCTTGAGGCTGTTTAGTTAATTATCAGCACATGCTAGTTTACATGTAATCGTGCATAGTGCTGTCAAGGGTATGACGATAATACTTATTGCATGCCTCATGCAGATCCTTATCCTATTGATATCTGACTATAGTAGATGGTGGGTGGATGTGTGGATGAATACTAAATGAAATGTCTTGCATATTAAGTATGCACATAAATGGATTGCAGTGTTTTTACATCTCATATGTAAGAACTTTTCAAGAGAATGGAGTTTCTTATATGAGGAAGATAAAGGGAAGGTGTTAACATTTTATTCTTTTTCCCAGGACAGGTCTTTATTTTTTGTGACTCTAGTAGGGTCAACAGCTAGAGCTTCCCTGAGTCTGGCCATGTTTAAGCCCAGACTGTATTCTCTGTGCATTCACATGAAGTGTTTACTGGGACTGCGTAGACCTAACATTCTTCCTTAACTTTTGTTAGGCAACTTAATCACACTGAGCTTTGACTTTTGTCTGTGAAATGGGGATCACACTTGCCTTGTGATGTTGCTGTAAGAATTCAGAAATATGGCCTGGTGATGACTTTAAAATGGTGGCCATTATAATGGTAATGATGTCAGGCTTCAGAGGAGAATTACTACTTCTTGTAGCAGGGGTGGCTCAAGGGATTCTAGGGTTCAATTTGGTAGCCTGTTTTTCTTTTTCAACTGATTTAAATTATTTGTGTTTTGATTTACTGTATGTCAGGTGTGACAGATGGTCTTTTGTAAAGCAGGGTCTTTACCACTTGAGCCACACCTCCAGTCTACACACGGTCTTTTGGGTCAACAATTTTCTGGTTAGTTTGCTACTAAAGACTAAGTATGAAGGATTTTTGTCAAGCTGTTTATATTCTTTGCAACACTCTTATGGTTTGGGCAAATATCACCTTTCTAAGTGAAAGAGTGGTACATAGAGAGCTTAGTTATTTATTCATGATGGTCATCCAGTTAGTAAACATACAAGTAATTTTTCTTTCAGCAAAAAAATGTTCATAAAACACCCAGAACATCAGTTAGCAAATCTGTTGTTCTTATCAGTAGGACTTGTGTCTTTTATTTTCCTTTCAAGTGAAACTGCGTTGGTTATAACCCTTGTTGTCTCACTTCTGGATCCTACTTCAAATCAAGTTTTCCCCCTTCACGTCTGGCTCTATCTCCCACCTGCCCACCCAACCCCAGCACTCACTGTGCTGGTGCCCCTGCACAGGCCCTTCACCGGTCCTCTTAGTCTTTTCTTTTTCATATAACTGTAGTTAGAGCTTTCTCTCTTCCTTCCCTTCACCCCAGGTCCTTCAGATGCCTTTGCACATACCAGTTTTCCAGTTTCTCTGTAGTTTTATTCCTGCGGTTTTGCTTTCTAGGCTACCTGCACTCATCTTTTTAGTTGTCTGTTTTCTGATCAATCTTTCCTAGTAAGTCATTCCTAATCTCTCAGATCAATTCGCATGTGTGCAGTTCATAGTGTCTGTGTTCCTCATTTGTTACATGTTGGTCATTGCCTGAAGCATGTGAGGTTTTTAAATGTCTTTGGTTTTCTAACTCCATCATATTACAGATGAGGTGACTGAGGCCCACAATGAAGAATGGCTCAACCATTATCCTTGTGGTGCTTCATTTATCACAGGTTGTTAGTGAATGCAGGTTGGTGGAGCAAGTGTGTGTGTGTGTGTGTGTGTGTGTGTGTGTGTGTGTGTGTGTGTGTGTATGAATGTGTATTGTTTATTAGGGAAGGGAAGGAAAGCTTAGTTCTGCCTTCCAGTTCTGAACGTAATTCCTTTTTTTGACGGGCAGGATGTTGGCAGAGCCCCGCACAGTTTTGCATAAACCCTTCCCTCTATTTCTAGGCTATTTCATCCTGTTTTGGTCTCTGAAGACTCCTTGGTAAATACTGGCCACCTCTATTGCCTTTGAAGTGAACTGTGCCAGGTAGTCAAGATTAAACTCAGTTTTAGGACTCTAAATTATGAGATAGGATTCAAGATGTTGGTCTGTTTCTCACCAGAAAGGCAATCTCCCAAGTGATCTATTTAAAGTTTGGAAATTTATGAAAATGAGTGAACCTATGGACTAAGTTGCCAGGAAGGCAGCATAAGGGAAGAGAGAGTGAGTCAGTTAACAACATGCACTGAGCACTCACTGTGGGAGGAAGGAGTCTTGAAGAACTGTTGCTAAAACAGATGTATTAACTATAAGTGGTGATGAGGTGATTGAAGGGGACACAGGAGGGAATTGAAGATTTAAATAAAACGGTGGGGTGTCAGTCTGTACATGATGCCCTTAACGTTTCTCACATGTGTCCATAGCTGTGGTTGATTTGCTTCAGGAACTGACAGACATAGACACCCTCCATGAGAGTGAAGAGGGAGCAGAGGTTCTCATCGATGCTCTGGTAAGTCACCTGGGGTTTCACAGCTTCGTGTGAGGTGGTGGCATCACCCCCATCATTGTGTCTGAGTAGGATTTGCAGAATTCTGTGGCAAGCCTGGATGGATGAGAAAGAAGTAGAAATGCTACTTGCAGGTACCTTATTCTGTGGGACTGTGTCAGGTAAGAGGCTGTGGAAGCCCAACATTTATTAAATACTGCTCTTGGCAGGACATTTCTCATTTCATTGGCTCTGTTTAATCCTCACCATGTCCTCTCAAATAGTATTGCTGCTATTCCCATGTACAGCTCTGAAGCCAAGACTCTTTATAGAGGTAGAACAACTTGCCCTTGGTCACACATTTGAGCCTATGTTGTCTTTGACTCTGTGTTCTTGCCTCTGTCCCCCTGTCCACCCCTCCCCCCACATTGGGCTGCTACTGACCTTTTTCCAAAGTGCTCTCAGAAGTTTGCTTTCTCTTCTGGGCTTTATAATCTTAGTGCCAACAAGGACAGATATTATTATTACTTATTTTATAGATAAGTCATCAGGGAGGAATCAGAGAATGTTAAAAACAAGACAAACCTTAGAGCTCATCTGGCTGGGCCAGAGTTGCATGCCCTGCTGCTGGACGAAAGGGCTGTGGGGTTTCTGCATTCTTTTTTGAAGAGCCTAGGCAAGGCCCCACATTTCCTCAGCCATCGTTCCAGACAGCAGCCAAGGTGAACTCTGTTGGGTAGGTCCCTTCTAATCTAATTGCCTGACACATGAAGAAGCCCAGAGGCAGATGGGAAGCCTCCCACACTGGGTCACTATGTCCTATGCCTTCCATGATAAGAGCCTGCATGTTCTCCTCACCACAACCACACTCCCTCCTCTACCTGTGACCAGAGGCAGTCTCTTGCCCTGATTTGCCTGTTAAGCCTCTATCCACCTGTTCTCCCTTCTTGTCTGATGTCTTCTCCTGCCTTTTTTCTCTGTTAGAATAGTAGTAAGTGGTGGTTTTGATGCATTTTGCAGTGTTTATCAGAGATTACTGCAGCCACTTGTGGTGGAAGCACCCAGGTGCTCCTAAGGCAGCTTTCTAGCCCCACCCAAGACCTACTGAATCAGGAGGGCTGTGACTGCAGTCCCCACTGCATATGCATGCAGCCCCTTCCCCCAGTGCCATGCTTGCTGCTGGCATTTGGTGTGAGTGGAGTTGTGAACCCCTGGGTAATATGAAGCACTGTCTCACAGAGATCGAGTCTGGACTCCAGCAGGGTCATGTGTGACCAGGATAGAAATTTCTATGACCGTTTTTCTTTCAAGCTGCTTCCTAAAGTGAACTGCCACTTGTGTAGGATTCAGGACTTTTCTTTTTTCTAAGAACCAGTGTGCAAAAAGAAAAGATGCTGCTGGGGGGGGTCCTTTGTTTTGAGGAGCATCTGAAGGAAGGCTGTGGCACTTGCTCTTGCACTGTGTCCCCATAATGTCATTTGTGCAGTCTTACCTTCCAGAGGTTAATTACAGTGGCCCTGGGTGCTCCTTCCTGCCTGGTTCCTGGGTTGATTTTAATTACTGTCCTTTGCCTGTGTGAATGGAGAAGAGGAGAGAGGAATGGCTAGCTTGGCGACTGCATGTAAAACCTACCCAGAAACAGCAATTCACACAAAAGCCCCCTTTGTGTTTTCTTTGTTGCCAGGCCCACCAACAAAGGCTGGATCTTGCAGATTTTATTGTCTGGAAAGAAACAGTTCATCCTTAGTCTGGGGAGCCATTAGGTAGCTGCTACACAGTGTTTTCTGTTTGTTTAGGTTTTTTATGATAATATTATTTTAAGATTTTGACTCTTATAGCTTTATCCTGGTGGGGCTGTTGTGAATCACAAGCACTGAACATTCTGGACTGTAATATATTATTTCCTTGTCTGCAACCAGTCAGAAACCATCAGTAAATATCAGAGAGCAGTGCTGGCAAGTTGTCTTCCATTTATTTTTCCCTACCCTTGTGCCACATTGAGGAAGATGTTTGATAAGTATTCTCCTATTACAAGGCTTGAGTTGTCTTCGTAGTTTTAATTTGGGCCCAGTATCAAAGGCCTAGAATTGCTGGAGCAGAGGCTAGAGGGCATGTGGCAGGATTTATTGTGGCATGCACTTTGCAGTTATTTCCTTGGTCTTTCTCCAGTTGGAAGGCTCCAGCAATAGAATAGCACATTTGTGGGAAGAGAGTGCTGTCCTGGCATTGTTGGGGATCTTTGGGGTTTTAAATTTTGTTCACGTCCACCTCTGTTCCTTATGAAAAGGCGAATATTTGGAACAAGTCAGTTTCGGAGCCTGGAAGATGGATTCTTCTGGAGAGTAGTAAATGTGAGGCTATATTGTGTTGGTGGCTGTTCTCTGGCTCACCTCTCCAAAGATGACTTGGGACTCCTTGAGAGTAGTGATTGGATAGCAGTCACGTTCTGACCCCCAACACTTGCCCTGAGCTTGGCAGTCCCAGCTTTTGCTCAAACTGGTTGTAGCAAGTGTCTTGATGTGGACAGCCGGGGAACTAACCTTCACACGCATCCTGGCCCTTAACTGACCCTTCCTGAAGTTAAACCTTAAGTTCTATAGTGGCTTGACTTAGAGTTGGTTGCTTTATCTTTATGCTGCTCAGCGTGAGGCCCTGCTGGGCAGGTTTCATGTGACGGTAAAGATGCTTCCTATGTAAGTGTCTGGATCCTGGCCCTTCCCACTTCCATTTAAATGTCCTCACCTTCATCTGAATTTGTTCCTAAGCAAAACTCACTTGTTCATTTGTTCACTAGATTTTACTGAGCACTTGGCATGTTCCTGGTTGTAGGAACTAGATAGCTACAGCTTTGAGTAAGACTGGCAGGGTCTCTGCTTTGGTAGAGGAACAAACAGGAAATAGTAAACAAGAAAACTACCTGATAGTGATTCTGTGTTACCAGAAAACTAAAGTAGAGTGGTGTGATGTGGAGTGCTTAGAGGTCAGGTGAGATTCAATTTTCAGGGAAGGCCTGAGCTCTGGGTACAAGAAGCCAGCTGTTCATAATGACCAAGAACGTGGGATGAGGACAAAGACTGAGGCAAGAATGAGCTTAGTGCAGAGAAGGGACCATGCTGATAGAGTACAGCCAGAGAGGAGAGCAAGAGCAGGCCTGCCTGTGCTGGGCACTGTCGGCCTTAGTGGGATTGCCAGTGAACAGGTTGTAGGCAAGGAGCTGGTAGCAGCCTGACTGAACATTTAAAAAAGATCCCTCTGGCAGCTGTGTGGGTAGCGGGTGGAAGGTAAAAGTAGAAGCTAAAGTGTACTAGTTAGGTTTCAATAGTCTGAGTTTTGCATCAGAACATGTTACTATATGTGTTCTCAAAACTTCTTTGCTTTTTTTTTTTTTTTTTTGCAGTATTGGGGTTTGAATTCAAGGTCTTGGACCTTTTTGCTTTAGGCATTTTTTACATAGGGTCTCACATTTATGCCCGGGCTATCCTGGACTGTAGTCCTCCTATTTATGCTTCTCACATAGCTAGGATGACAGGCATGTGCCACATTGGTTGAGGTGGGGTCTTGCAAACTTTATTCTCAATCCTCCTGTGGCATGTGCCACCATGCCTGGCCTCCAACTCATTTGGTCAAGATTCCATGGAGCTAGGCGTGGTGGTACATACCTATAATCCTAGCTCTAGGGAGGCCAACATAGGAGGATTGTGAGTTGCAGGTCAGCCTGGGCTACAGAGCAAGTTTGAGGCCAGCCTGGGAGATACATGTGTACGCGGAGGGTGGGGGGAGGGTGTGTCAAGATTATGCTTTAAAAAAAAGATTCCATGGGTATGGGACTTTATTTTTATATTTTTTTGAAATAATGAGATTTCTGAAACTCCTAGTAGGTGTAAATCTCGATTCTAATCCTTGAGAATGCTTGTTGGCAGGGTATAACAGACAGAAAAAGAATCCTCCTTCAAACCCTCTCATCTGTTTATTTCCTCATCTTCTCTTTTATCTATCCACTTTGGTCAAGTGGAAAAAGATGGCTAATCATGCCCTTGAACTTTGTCTCAGTAAGACCTGCTAGAATATTGTTTGGAGACCTGCTAACCAGCAGAAATAACCAGTGAATTATCGGAGAATGTCAGACCTCAGACAGTCCTGATTTCCAAGACCAGGGTTGCTCAAGCTGATGCTTTAATCCCTGAGCAGGATTTGTTTTTAGTTTCAGACTTCGTCACAGGTCCAGAAAATTGAAGGTAGACCCAAGGGGTTAGCTGAAGTAGGACAGAATGCTAATTTGTACTTCTTACCAGGCGATATTCAGAGCTATGCATAATATAAACACTTTTCCAAGGGTTTTCTGAGCTGAATGTATTTTGACTGCTTTTGGCTCTCCTGCAATCAGATAAAATTGCATTTAACCCAGCTAAACATGAAGTTTCACACTTTGCAAGCTTAAAAAGACTGCCTGTTAGAAGTTAGATTTCCGTAACAAGAAAAAAGATTTTCCTCCAGCCAGACACCCATTATCCATAACCGTTCAGCTCTAAGATTTAAGCGTGTTGCTCATTGCCACTGTCCCAGCCAGTTTCCAGACAGCAGAGAGGAGAAGCATAACTAAAAATCAAGGAAAGGGGAAAAAAATAATGCAGATAAAGTAGCAATAAGCAATGGAGATGAGTGAAGCAGTTTGCAGAACTGACAGGCAGTGTGATGCACAATAGAGTTGTGGTGTCTGCTGCATTAGGATGGGGTAAGAGAAAGCACATTGTAAACTGCAACTTGCTAATGTGTTCTTAGTTTATTCATTCAAATGTGTAAATGTGGTTGTATGAATGCGAACATTTGGGGGAGCCAACTTGTCATATGCTTCCCTCTCTCCCTTTGTTCCCCTATTCTTGCAGGTGGATGGGCAGGTGGTAGCATTGCTGGTACAGAATCTGGAGCGCCTGGATGAGTCTGTGCGGGAGGAGGCAGATGGTGTCCATAACACTTTGGGTGAGTGGCAAGGCGCCCGTGCTGGGCTTGGTGCTCCCTTTCCTTCCTCCTTCATAAGAGAGTCAACACCGGAGTGTTTTCTTTCCTTCTTCTCTCAAACTGCCTTTTTGGAAATGAAGACCTGTGTGTACATTTCATATAGCTGCAGCTTTGGCTTGGCTTGTAGTTAATAAAAGCAGAAATCCAGAAAGTAGGTAACTTTCCAAGACAAAATGCCCTGGCTCTTAGATTTTATCAGTACTCTGCCTCCAAAAGTAAGGCTAAAATCCATGCAGAATATCCTCCCCCTTTGGAAAGGATATGTTGAAAAATTTAAATAAAAAAAATTTGTGCTGATTGTTCTTATCACTTTCCTTCAGTGGAACTATGAACTTTTGCACAACTGTGAACCTTTACAGGAAGGATATTTTCTTTGATAAAGAGCTAATATTTCTTTCTGTTCTTATGTACAGATTGCTGTGTAAACTCTGAGTTGAAGTATTGCTACTAACTTGGCTGCTCCTGTGTCATATGTTCATTTAAGTAGATTCCTCTGTAGTATTTCTCCTCTTCCTTCTCCCTTTTGATATCTCCCCAGTCTTTCCCTTTGCAAAGTTGCCAAACCAACAGCCTATTTAAAATTGTGCTTTTGGGTGGTCCTCTTTATCACTGGTCACTGTCTTATATAAAACCAGAGCTCAAGAAATAAACGAGGCTCAGTGGAAGCAAAACTTTTGATGAGATTAGATTTCCCCTCTGTACCTTCATGTTTACCAGATTTCTCTTGTAGTTCTAGACTCTCTTCTGTGAGGATTATCATAAAGAAGGGGGAAGATGGGCACCTAGGGAGTAAGAGAGGAGAGAACACAACAGTCTGTGATTGGAGGTTGGCTCTAGTCTAGAGCCAGAATTTGGCATTGCCATCTGTTAGCCTAATGGTGGATTTTGCAGCATCAAAAGCTTATCAAAAGTCTTAACTGACTTAATAAAAAGAGCCTGGTATAATGGAAAAAGCATCAGCCTGGCACTCTGCAGAGATCTATCTAGCTTCAGCTTGGCCACTACCACAGCTCAGATTCATTCCTGTCTCCTTATTGAGTGCCGAGTGTTTGTCAGGCACTGTGCTAGGCACTATGGTAGGTTATGATGAATTAGGCATGGGGCAGATGATGTGACGGTCCGAAACAGAAAGGAAAGACAGTATCAGCTGACAAATGATGTAATAGGAGTCAGTGACAAGCACTGTGGGAGTAGCAAGGAAAGGTCTCCAAGTTGTCCCATGAGAGAAGATGCTGATTGGGGCTGAGAAAGAAGAAAGGTGCCCTTTGACAAGGGGAAGAGTGGGAGAAGGGCCCTTGGATAGGGAATGTCATTTGCAAAGTCAAAATAGACCGGGCTGGGGAAAGTTTTAGAGATATGCTGAGGAGGAGGAGGAGTGGTACAAGACCTTGCAGACCACAGCAAGAAGTTTGACTTTGTTTCTTGGGGGCAACTGGAAGCCACTAAAGTTTAAGCAGAAGAGTAAGATAAAGGCGTAAAAGATTAAAGTGAATGAGTTGATTTTCTTAGGTCATGTATAATTGAGGGCATTGTGACGTTCTTCATCTCTCTGGGGTTTCATTACTACTCTGCTCCCACGGTTTGTATTCCCACTGTGCTGTTCTTTATTTACCTGTGTTGCGGCTGACCTGGGCAAAAGAATGAGGAAGAAGATGTGGGTATGATGATGTCTTTAGCCCTTTCTCCTTCAAGATTCACTTCCAGTGTGTTCAGAGCATTGTGCTAGGGAATATAAAACATCTGCTTTGTGAGAGTCGCATGTTCTAAGATATAAAACAAAAGGGGCCCAGAAGGAAAGGGGAATGTTTGATGTATGTATTAAGAATATAGGTGACTCTTTCTGATGTCCTCATTTTTGGTAAGTTTTAATTTTTCTGTGAAGCAGGACTTGGCTTTTGCAGGCGATAGCAGGGCCGATTACTTGTTTCCTAGCACCTGGCAGCTCCCTCTGCTGGCACAACCCTTCTCTTTGTACACATCATTTTGTTCACCTAAGAAGGTCATGCCTGCTGGGCATTGGTTGCTCACACCTGTAATCTTAACTACTTGGGAGATTGAGATCAGGAGAATCAAGGTTGGAGGCCAGCCTGGGCATATAGTTCATGGACCATCTCCAAAAAATAACCAAAGCAAAATGGACTGGAGATATGGCTCAAGTGGTAAAGCTCCTGCTTTGCAAGCATGAAGCCCTGAGTTCAAAGCCCGGTCCCCTGGTAGTTTCCTCATTCCACACAGTTCAGAGGAGACTGAAAATGGATGAATCAGACAGAAAAAGGCTGAATCCCCACTCTTAGGATTTTCCTAAAGTTTCTGCTTAGCCCCCTGTTTCTTTAGTTACAGGTCTCTGGGACTCCAGCACTCTGTGGACCAAGTGGACCTTCATAGACAGCCTCCACCCTTGTGTACTTCACTCTAGTTTGGGTCTCTGTTAGCATAGAAAACTTATCACTTATCCCTTTTGTTAACTCCATGATTTTCAGTTATGACTTTTACTTGTAACCATAACTTGGGGAAAAATAAAAAAAACCCACAGTAACTCCCTGGCTAATCTAAAAATGACAGCATAACATCTGGTTGGGAGGAATACAGGAAAGTGGAAAGAGGAATAAAAAGCCTGTCATGGGAAGCCTGCTTGTTGCATATGGAAACAAAAGTGCCCTCCCCAGTGACTGGCATCTGTCTCCCTTCAGCTATTGTGGAGAACATGGCTGAGTTCCGGCCTGAGGTCTGTACAGAGGCTGCCCAGCAGGGGCTCCTGCAGTGGCTGTTGAAGAGGCTGAAGGTAAGTGTGGCTGTGTGGCGCTTTTGCTCAAATCTCTCTTTGCTCTGGTCATAGTCGATGCTGGGTTGTTGATAGAGAGTGTTGGCCCCTAACCGTGTGGGTCTAGATTGGGAAGCTTCTGGTATCTCTTGCTCCTTTCTTTGCTTATCGTTTTTTCCTTTTTAAAAGATGCTTTCCAGTTCCACTCCCCAGAGGCAGCTGATATTAACGATATTTATTCTTTCAGAAATTTTCTGTACACATGTAGGAGAATGTGTTGTGTGTTTCACAAAAATTGTTTTCTTATGCAATTTCTTTTTTAGTGAACTAATGGTTGTCTACTTATACAAATGTACCAAAATTAATTCAACTGTTGTTGTTTCTAAGTTTTGGCTTGTTATGAATAGTGTACATCATCATATACATGCTGTATATGATGTGTCTATATCATGCACACACTTTTTTGCACACTTCTCTTAGCTTATCTGTGTGGTAAATTCCTAGAAATGAAATTAATGGGTCAAAAGGTATACATATTATCATTTTTGGTAGGTATTACAAAACTGTCCCCTGTAAAGGCTGCCCCACTGATTTCAGAATGCTTCCTGCTACCCGTAACAACACTAGGCTTTATTAAACTTAGCTTTGTTAATCTGATAGGTGAAAACTGATATTCATTTAACTTAGAGCTTTAAAATCACAATATAATCACAGAAAGTATACTGGCTTCTATTTGTTTATTAGCTGTTTGTATTCTCTTTTAGCTTCAAATTTATATCCTTTGTTCATATTTCTATTGGGTTGTTCATTCCCTTTCCTTTTTAGCATAATTGTGACCATCTTTCTGACAATTAGTGCTGTCCTATACAGTGAGTGACTAGGAGGGCAAAGCTATGAGCTTTGGCCATAGATCTGGTGGGAGGCAGTTTGGAACTGCTGATGTGCATGGTCCTCAGTCCAGCAAGATTTCCAGTTTTCTAATAAGAGGAGGCACTTTTTGTAGTGGGAGTGATTCTTGAAATGGTCATGGCCTTGTTATGCTTCAGAGTGTTGTAGAGATCCAGAAAGTCCAAGGTGTATACGGTTATATTTATCCTCAGTCTCTTCTAAAGGAGAAGGTTCTGCCTAAGGTTGCATATGCCCCACGATTCCTGGCCTCTGATGATCTAGGACTTCCTTAGAAGGCCTCTGGTTCCCACAAACTCTGTAACAGACTTACATCACATATCAACTCAAGCCATTACCGTCAGTGGGTATGGGTGCATTTGCCTGCTCAGTGCATTGAGGCCCCTTCAAGCCCACCTTTCCTATTCCTAAGTCTCTTTTCCTTTCAGTCCTGCACTCAGCACACTGTTAATTCACATGCTGTCATCTTGGCAACTTCCTTTTGAACTCCTCTCCTGAATCTGGATGGCCTACAGCTCTAGTTTTCTGTGTAATTCCATTCACATCTCCCTAAACTCAGTTTCTTCTTTGTTTAATATTTAGCATATTTTCATTCTCCAAGGCCTTGAGACACTTTAGGAGTGAGTGGTAAAGAATGAAGTAGGAACCAAGAGAATGGGATAGGTAACACAGATCTGAGATGTTGGTGGAGTGGCCACAGGTTGAGGCCACAATCCTAAAATATACAAGATAATAGTTTTGTCAAGACAAATTTTTGTCAGTTACTTGGGATTTACACTGATTTGAAAGGTGTTGAAAGGGTTTTTTGTTGTTGTTGTTTTGAATTGGTCATATAGTAAGGGAAATTGAGACCTTTGGGTGTTTAGCTTGAATTCCATTACCCTTATGACAGTAATAAAGAGGCCCATTTGATATTTTAGCACACTATTGACTTGTGCCTTACAGGCATAGCATTTATGTAATACTCAGGGCATAAATACCCACACTGCTATCTCTAAAATAGTTTTTTCAAGGTTCCAGGGTATTTAAACATTAAAATGCTATTTGGTTATTTTATTAGTAAGCAAGTTCTCTTAGAGAAGCTTGTGCTGCCCAGAACATTAACGGGAGGACTTCCTTAAGGAACTCCTGCTTATGGGTAAGACAAGAGCAAGAAGGCTTTGCTCTTGTTTTTTACAATCCGAGTAAGTTCTTATAATATCTTCAGCCACATAAGCGTCATGGTGCCTTGGAGTGAAAGCTGATCAGGTTCCCATTTCCCATAGGAGCAGTGTGACTATGGACAGTGGTCCCTTGTCTCACCTGTTTTCTTCTTTGAAAAATTGGGAGCCTCTTTCCGGAGGAGAGACCAAATGTGATAATGCTTCTAAATTGTAAAGATCTGTATAGCCATGGGTGTCAGCTGGGGGTTGTATTAAGATCACTTAGGAAACTAAAAATTTCAGATCCCTAATCTTACTGTCTTAGTCTCTGCCACTGGTGTATTTTAGAAAAGTTCCACTTGGGATTCTAGTGTTTAGCCCTCAATAGAATCCAGTGGTTTCTAGAAGTGAGAACCTTCTTCTCACCCTACAGGCTGGTATAAAACTCCATTTTCAGTTGCTGTCCCTGTTTGAGAACCTGTGGTCATGGTAGTGAGTGCCAGTAATCAAGAAGGCGAAAAGGATGAGGCAGGAGGATTACGAGTCCAAGATCAGCCTGAGCCTAAAAAAAAAAAAAAGGAACCTAGCTGCTACCTCAGAGCCCACCTCCACTTCCTTCGTTTTTTTGATGGTACTAGGGTTTGAACTAAGGACCTTTCTCTTGCTAGGCAGGTGCTCTGCTACTTGAGCCACTCCCCCAGCCCTTTTTTACTTTAATTATTTTTTGGATAAGGTCTTGCATTTTAGCCCAGGCTTGGCCTCAGATGTTGAACCTTCTACCTCCACCTCCCACATAGCTGAGATCACAGGCATGTTCCACCATCCCCCACTTATTTAGACGGGGGTTTCACTAACTATTTGCCCAGGCTGCCTCTAACCAATCTGCACCTCCTTGGTGGAGCAGGATTACAGACATGAGTTACTGCGCCTGTTTCCTACCAGGCTAGGAAAAGCTCCTAGCCTGGCTTTTCATTTCTTAATTTTGAAACATTGCCCTTTGTTATCTATTAGATACCTACTCTTTTACCTATGCCTTGCTCTGTAAAGGTCAAATTATCTTGCTCATGCCCCTGCCTCCACCATGCATGACTTTGGTTTTCTTTCTGTGTTTCTAAATTAGATATAACTTTCATGAGACAGCTTAAGGTCTGGAAGTTGTGGCTCAAGTGGTACAGTGCTTGCCTAGCATATATGAGGCCCTGGGTTCACACCCCAGTACTGCCCTCTCCCCAAAAAAACAAGGGGGAAACATGAGACAGCTTAAATCTCTACTCTTTCATAGAGCCTTCATGTTTTGAACTGAAGGACACCTAAGTTCTTTTGTGGATAAAAAAACTGAAAGTCAAGACCTAAAGATATTAAGTGCTTTGCCCAAACCCATACAACTAGAGACAGAGCTGGTATTATACCTGTGCCTCCGGAATTTCTTTCACATACCCTTTCTATCACAATGCTTTGCCACCAGCCTATTTGTCCCCCTTTCTTTTCTGAAAAGTAGCCCCTTCATTTTATTCCTAATGGTTTTCCCGTGGGAGTTAGCCATCTGGGTTCTACTATTCACCTGTAACTGTGTGACACTCACCCTCATGGAGCACCTTTTCTCCATCTGTGGAGGCAGTTCCATCACCTGGCAGACTTTCAGGATGTGTGTGCTAGTTTTCTTTTCTAAATATTCTTAAATCACAAGCATTGTGGCTCTGTTGTGTTTGCATCTCCTCCCAGTTGTTCTAAAAAAAATTTTGTTACTAGCCATCAGCCTCAGCATCATCTGGTGACTTAAAAGAAATGCAAATTTTTGGTCTCCACCAAGTCATCAAAGCTTGGAGTGGAGCCTAGTATCTTAGGTTTTAACAGGCCCTCCTGGTGAGCCTGATGTAAGCTAAAGTCTGAGCACCGAAGTTCTAGAATGTTTATGTCTGGATTGCTGGATAGAATGTTGCCTTTTGATCACCCCATATTTATTCAGTAATCCTTGAGTGACTCTTAAGTGAAGGAGAGCACATTGGTGACAGGCATCTTAGACTTGGATTTCTCCATGTTGTAGGGGTAGCCTAGCACTATGTAGAGATTTTCATGGATTTTTCTTTTTATTCAAAGAAAACCTCATTAATTTGTTCTAATGAGGATAAAAGCTATTGCTGATGATTGCATTAAACGGATTAGCAGGTAAGCAGATAACTAGTGGGAGAGACACTGCATCACAGGTCATTGTTGAAGTTGGGAAACACAGGCTTATTAGGATATTATATACTATTGAACATAACACCCAAACTAATAGTTTTATTTTCATTTTTTAAATGAACAAAATTAAGATTCCTAGTCGTTTCCCAGTTAATGCTCCAGAAACAGTTGGAACACTCGGTATATGAATTACTGAATTAAGAATTGGCTAAGTTATACAACATGTACAACTGGTTGGTGCAAAATCCCTTAGCCCCTGGTGACCAGAGGTTGTGATTTTGCAGGGCCCAATCTGCTTTGACAGTCACATAGGGCTGTAGGATGTGTTTGAACCTGCCCCTCATTTCAGGGACCAGAGGTGAGCTGCAGATATGACCTACAGCTTCTGGCTGCGGGTGGTAGCATAATTGTTTGTACTTTCCAAAAAGAGCAGCAGCTCCCAAAAAGGTAAAGTTTAATTTTATTCAGGGACTTACATGCTGAGTACAAACTTGTGCCTGACTCTGTAATTACCCTGACAGCTGAAAGATTTAGGATCACCAGGCTTCTGGATAGAAGAGAGCCCTGTATGTTCCAAGTCCCACTGGTTTGCTTTGCAAGTAAAACAAGAGACCATACCTGTTAAATGAATTCTCCTTTTTCCTGAGTTTGATTAAATGTCTTTGTAATTTGGCACTTTGGTATTGTGTACTCTCTGGCTGAGATTTAAACAAATAAAATGTTCTTGGTAAGTTTATCTTTGTCTAGACATGAAAGATCAGTCTCCTTCCTTCCCAACTGGCCTAGTTTTTTTTTATTTATTTTCCACCAGATTAAATTATCATTGTCACTATCATTGCCTTTTTTCCCATCTGGTTATGAAAAAATGTTTCTCTAGATCCTTGCACACTTATCCTTAATCCTTACAACAACCCTGCCAATAACATTCCACTCTCCCCAGTTTACAGATAAAGAAGGAATCCCAGAGAAGAGAAATGCCTTGCCTAAACCCAGAACCAGTGAGAGTTGGGGCTGGGTTTCTCTGAAGCAGCTTCCTCCTACCAAGCTGCTTGCAGCTGGCGTCATGCTGTGGTGCTGAGGCAGCTCCCGGCTCAGCATTAGGAGTTGTCAGCCTAGTCATTTTGGTTTCCTGATTAAATCACTCCTTGATGACAATTTTAAGAAACAAATGGTGAAATTATTTAAAAACTGGCTTTTAAGTTTTTGCTTTACACTTCATAAGGAAGATGTGACAACGTAGGAGACATTGGATTAAAGAGGCAGAGTAATTTGGCCAAGTTCACAACACTGGTGAACTATAAGACCTGATATTCTACTCAGACAGATATTTCTTTATTCCAGTTATCAGAAGAACCTGTAGTATATAGTCTGTTTTAGTACTTTCATATTATTTTATTTAATTCTCATGCCAGTCCTCCAAAGAGGCTGTTTCCACTTTACAAATGAGAGGAAACAGACCAAGGAATGTTACTTAGATCACAGATCCCTGTTATGGGTGTGTGGTGCTCTTAGTGTCTCTGTAGTTTTGTTCTTACAGTACCCTCCATGCCAGAAAGTATCTAACAATACTGTTTGTTAAAGCAGTTAGGTCCAAATAACATGTATTATGTCCTAACAATTTATTATCAGTTTGAGGAAAGAATAAACATAAATGAAAGAAGGTATGTTTTATTTCATTTTAAATGTCACAGAATATCCACCTTTTGGGCATTGCACCATGCACAGCTTTCTAAACCTTGGCGTCAGACTGCACACCACTGCTCATTGCTAATCCACAGCTATTTTCACACAGTTTTGTTTTTTTTTTAAAATAACAGTAACCACCAAACCTAGCTCTACAACGATATAATATCATCAGAAGAAATGCCCCTTGATGTGATAGTTAGTACACTGCTCAACAGATGTCAAGTGTACCATGTTTTCCTTGAAACTTTAAAAATGCCCTTGGTAGATTCAGTATGGCACTCAGTTACCTCAGCACACAGTGTCATGCTCGTGAGTCAGACTTAGGTATGACCCAGTTCCATGCCCCTCAATCTTTTCTTTTTTGAAATGGACTGTACTACTTCATAAAATTAACTTGAATTCAGTGTAATATCTTCAAATGCCACAACAGTAGACAGGGTTCAGGTTTAATTCACCTCTGTTTGCTGTTGTGCTTAATTCTATGTCTTGCATATAGAAGAGAAAACTCCTCAAACCCTGGAGGCAGGAGTTTATAAAATCCAGAGAAAGACAAAAGGCACTGGAACTACACGAAGGCTCTTGCACTAGTGGCCTGATGTCTCTAGGCCTCATTTAGTTAAGTGTGTTTGTTTCAAAGAAGACCCTGGCCTTTGAAAAGCTGCATATAAGTTGGTGTGGCTAAAATCATTTAAAATGGGGATGTAGATCATTTGAGTCATTTTATTAGCCAGTCCTTGATTCCAGTAGAGATGCTCACCCTTTTGCTTTCCACCTCTGTGTTTTGATTTTTATAGAACCATCTTTTTTAAAGGGAAACACACCACTTAAGCCCCATTGTTAAACAGATTTTTTGAAAGAAAGCCTCAAGCTTGCCCAGAGAGCATACCCATACAGTCAGCACGTGTAAGACCTTGCACTTATAGATCTTTTAACCTAAGATGGGGCAGACCTGGCTGGCCTCCTGAAACCCTGTGGGGTGCACTTTGACTTGATGAGGGAGGACATGCACAGAAAACTGAAATGGTGCTGGATGTTGTTTGATTAGGTTCCATTCTTCCTTCTTAAGTACAAAATCAATGTCCAAATGGAACTGTGAATTGTACGAGATTTATGGAAGTGTTAGCTTTAAGATAAAAACTTTCCCTGTTGTCATTTCAAAAACCTAGATACATAGCAAAGGCTGCTGCGATTAACAGTTGTTGTCTAGGTGCCTGCATTTTAAGGATCTGTAAATAAAAATACATCACTGAGACTTGCTCTTCTCTGTGCACTTTTCTCCATGGGGCACTGCTGATGGTGAGATACTTAAGTCTCAATACTACTGAAGCAACAGTGTAGATGGTTGTGAAAGATAGTCTAAGCAGTAGATGTGTCCCCACTGAACCTCCAGCTAGCAGAATACACAGCAGGGAACGAATTGTGGGTAGTAATTTAGGTGTTAAAATATTAAAACATTTTTGCATATTTAATGTGGTTTCCTTTTTAAATAGTAGGCAGATTATGGCATATAGGCAGATAGGTTTATGATTCCAAATTAAATTTTAAGCATTAAAAAATCCTAAAGGAACTAGTTTGTTATAAATATATTCAGCTAATCTAAACAAGAAATTGCTTTCTTTTCAACTTTTCTGATTATATGTCATATAATTTTATGGTTCTAACTTGTGAATGAAGTTTCATGACTTAATTTTAAAAGTTCAGAAGTTTCTATTTTTTACCTTAGACACATGCAGTTTCTGGACTCAGAATGAGGAATCTGGGAAGGCTTTGTGAAGGAGGTGACATTCGTACCATGGGTGTTAGGAGTGGGCCAACCATTGTGTCTCCGTGCCGTTTACCATGTAGCACTTGGGTCTGACCTCATGAGAACAGAGGCAGACCTTTTTTTTTTTTTTTTTAACCCTTAATTGCCTTTTCCTTAACTTCCTCTTCTCTCTGACTTGTGAAAGGAAGCAAGACCCCTTAATGGTTTTCTCATTTTTCTTATTTTCCCACAGGCAAAGATGCCTTTTGATGCCAACAAACTGTATTGCAGTGAAGTGCTGGCCATATTGCTCCAGGACAATGATGGTGAGGCTCCTCTCAGTGTTGATATTCTGTTAGGATAGGAGCCAGGCTTGTTTCAGATCATGACAGCAAGCTCTTTTGCCTTTGGCATCCCTTTGCTTCCCCTCTCACTCTCTGTGCAGCTTTTGTACTCTGTCAAGCTGTATTGATTTTGTTTGCTGATGTATCAGTGCTAGACGGCTGTAAAATCTGACAGTTAGCTTCATTTTTTTTTTCTTCCTCTATTTTTTCCCCCTTATAGAAAACAGGGAATTGCTTGGGGAGCTGGATGGAATCGATGTGCTTCTTCAGCAGTTATCTGTGAGTAGTTCTTAACGCTTCCTGTCTGCCATGAAGATACAATGTGGCCTACTTTAAATGGGAGGTGGAGCTGGACATTGTGGGAAGGAGTGAACCATGTGGTACAAGCTATGTGGAACATGGTGGCAGGTTGAAGTTTCCATTGGAGGCACATGGTTTGCCTCCTTTTCATGGGCTCTTTCTGACCTGATATCACTGTGAACCTCGGATGGTCTCTCCCCAGTTTCTGATACAACATTGCCAATCCAGAGGAGATGTGCACCCTGCTCACTTGCATTTTCCTGGGTTCAGAATGCCAAATTACTTCTCATTTAACCCACTCCCAAGATTATTCATCTCCTTTCCTTTCAGTCTGCTACTAAAATGGAGTCTGTTTATTTAGGATCCAGATAAGCTCCCAGAGAATAAATTCCAGTGCAGTAGATAGAGGTCACAGAGGACAATAGGGAAGGACATGGCACCGGAGGCTGCAGCATGAAATTGGAAACTGCCATTTGTTCACTGAAAGAATTGTAAATTCAGTTAAAATGTTATTCTGCTGGCATTTGGAAAATATAGTTAAGATTTCCTTAGCAAACCTCATCTGTGTTATTCCAAAAACAGGACTGAAAATAGATCATTTGGATAAAATTTTAAGAGTGTTGAATATCTGAGATGTCAGTTTGCATACAGCTTCCCTCTTGGTGCCAGAAGCTTGAATGGCTTGGCCTTCACCCCAAAAATAGAGCTTTGAAATGTGAAGTTGTTTCCAATTCTGGGAAGGTGCTTAGTCCTTTTCCTGTGAGAGCATTGATTGTCTCCTAGTAGACTGTATGAGTATGCCTTCCCATTAAGAGGCTTTCATCTCAATAGGCTGTATGTCTCTGGCAAAAACAGCACTTCAGCCTAAGCCCATCCCATGACTTAGAGCCCTCACTACTGTGTGAGGTTGTGCAGTAGCCCTGTTAGGAGCACTTGCTTACGTTGACACTGGATTTGGCTTCTGGATTGTGGTTACCTTTAGAAGGGGAGGAAAGTTGGTGTGGTTGGGTTATGCATGTGCAGAGCTTTGACGGTAGCCAGCAGAGCTGTTTCCTGACCTGAGCAGTGCTTTGGTGCTTGCTTTTTCCATTTAACTGTATGTGTCCTTTATGGAGTTTTCTGTTTGTATTATATTTTATACTAGTAAAAGGGCTTGAGGTTTTTTGGGGTTTGCTTTTTAAAGAAAATCTTAGAACTGTCAATCATCCATGGACCCAGTGGTCAGCTGAGTGTTTTGTGTTTTTGCATAAACTGATACCCATTTATTTAATACCAGTGGATCAGAAAGCTTAGCTTCTGTAAAATGGAAACTGATGAGAGTTTTGTTTGGTAAGCTTCTGTTTTCTCAATTGTGCCTTGACAGCCAGGCTTTGGAAATTGTTAGCTGGTGGCTGATGAAAAGACATTCTTTTATGGCTCTATGCTTTCTGCTGTCTTTGCTTGACAGGTGTTTAAAAGACACAATCCCAGCACAGCTGAGGAGCAGGAGATGATGGAGAATCTGTTTGATTCCCTGTGTTCCTGCCTGATGCTCAGCTCCAATCGTGAGCGCTTCCTGAAGGGTGAGGGCCTTCAGCTGATGAATCTCATGCTCAGGTATGTTTACAGCTCCTGGCTCTCCCATCTTTTTTGCCTAACTTCTCACTTAGCCAGATTTAAGAACGTGGGGCTATGGTCTTTTATTCCTATGAGTTTCACATATCTACAGAATAGTATTCATTTGTAGGTGTGCATTTTTATCTGTATTTGTGGGCCTTTCTAAAATTACCGTTGATGCATAAAAGTGTTTTGAGGTTTTTGGCCTGGATCAGGTCTTTGTGATTGAAAACCAGGTGTTCAACCACTTGAGCCATACCTCCAGCTCTAAAAGTGTATTTTAGTGCACTTATGCCCCATTGTGTCAGTTGGTAATACGATCACTACATTAAAGGGCAGTACCTTTTTGTGCCTTCTTAGTGTGTTGATTTTGGAGAAATCTTTTCATTAGCTTCTATTCTTAACCTTTGTTCATCTCTAAACGTAGCCCAGTTTTCTGTATATCCCATATAGAACCATTTATGCCACATTTGTCTGTTTTTGTTATTGACACCAAAATATTCGTATTTTTCAATTTGGTAATGAGTTGTACATGTGTTTTGTGCCTAATCATATGAAAGTGTTCAGTACAGTTCTAGAACTTTTGTTCATAGCACTTTCTTTTTGTAGCTTATATGCTATTTTCCTTAAAGTGGACATCATGCTAGTGTTTTAGTTATCTCACAGAATCCCGAAGTTGAACCCAAAAGAGGAAGATTGCTTGTATTGATGTCTTTTTGAGAAATCTGGCTAGGAAGGCGAGTACGGCGGGGTGGGGGGAGTTGGGGGGGGGTGTGGTCCATTGACAGTTTTTAAATTGGAACAGTGTTTGCAAAACAGTGTTTGGAATACTGTAATTATGGGATTGTTCTTTATGAAACTGAGCCAGAGTCTGCCATTTTGAAACACTTTTTCATGCCCAGTGGAAAATTCTGTTGAGCTAAGTTATTTCTTTGAAAGTTTTTTCATAAATTTGATATATATTTATTACATATAATTTAGAGTATAGCCATATGAAATTACTGTTAAAATACTGATAAGGTACTATGTTGAGTGTCAGGCTGACACAAAAAAGACAGAATTCCCCTTTCCAGGAGCTAAGAAAAGCCAATAGCTCTGTCACCCAAACACAGCCTGTCTTTTAATGTATATTTCCTTCTAGTGGGTTTTTAAAAAATCCTTGCTTTTTTTTTTATTTTGTTTTGATAACTTTTTGCATTTGCCACACATAATTATCTATACTGTTTCTTTTTGGATTTAGCTTGCTGTTTCTCATAATGTTACATAATCTTCATGAGAGCTCATTGACTACATAAGAAACTTGAGGGGACATAGCTTACTTAGTATTCTGTTGTTGATATTGAGGTTATTTTCAGTGTTTTGCTACCATAACAAATTTGACAGTGATCATTTTTGTGATTAAAATGATTTTAGGATAATAGAGGTATGTATTTCTAAAATTCCTTCTCCTTAAAAGGCTTGCAGAGGGCTTGGGAACTTCTCTTGCCCATTGCCTAGCAAACCTTAGATTGATTGAGAATTTTCCTCTGGGAAATTGCTTTTAAAAATAAATCCTTTTTTTAAAATGCAGGAGATGGGGCCAGGAAATTTCTTAGACGCCTTTACAGTTTAGCTGATTCTTGCTAGCTCTCCTCCTTGAGTCTTTTGTTTATCTCCTTTACCTAATTGCTTGGCCTTTTGTTGAAATGACCCACCTTCTCTCAGGTAAATAACATACAAGGAAGATGCATGTGGCTTTTTGGGTCTTCCAACCTTAAAACTGCACTCTGCAGGGACTTTCCCCTAACCTTCTTAGAGGTCTGAACTGCCAGTGTCTTTGGACAGGTTAGTGCATATAGGAAGTGATGAATTCCTGTAACATATGGCTTGGTAATGCGAAGCAGTGGGAAGCTGAATAAATAACCAGAAATACGGATTATTCAAACAGGAATGCAAAGATTCTGGGAGGCTAATTAAAGAAGAGCTCCAGAAGACAGAGACTGTACCTTGCTGGGATCTCCTCGCTTCTCATTTTTGAGTGCTGTAGTAGCTGTTAGATTCCTTCTTTGCATTAATTAACTGTATTAGCGGATTCAGCATTTCCTTTTGCCTCTTTCCCATGCTCTTTGTTCTGCATTGGTTTTCTTCTTCATACTCCCAAATAAAAAGTTTAATTGGGAAGGAATATTTTCTCCTACTATTTTTATTATTCCTGATTTATTTAGTAAGAGCCACCAGGTTGCTCTCTGTCCAGGGAGTGCTATTTCAAGACTAGGAAGTTATAATACTGAGAGGTCAGGAAAATTTCTGTGGTTCCATTGCCCTTAAATATGAATTTTTACTTTGATTCAGTCATTCATTGGACATTTATAGAATACCCACTTAAGGAGGTGACAGTGCAGTAAAGGGTGAAGGGATGGGCTTTAGAGTTGAGGTAAATGTGGGTTTGAAGGAAGTGTAGACCTTTCACTTACTAGCTCTAGATGTTTGGTGTGTTATTTTAACTTTTCTGACTCTTTGACCCTCAGTTTTTTCATCTGAAAATTTGTGGGGATTTTTAGGTATTTAAACTCTATAAAGTGGGGCAGTTCTGCAGGTACTGAAACAGTGATAAGGTGCCAGGTGGCTCAAGCCTATAATCCTGTTGAGAGGATCATGGTTGTAGGCCAGCCCAAGGCAAAAAGCTTTCTTTCAAGACCCCCATCTCAACCAGTAAAAGCTCTCATAGTGGTGTGTGCCTGTCATCCAGCTTTGCAGGAAGTGTAGATAGGAGAATCATGGTCCAGGCATAAAGTGAGACCCTATCTCAAAAATAACCAAAGCAAAAAGTACTAAGAACGGAGCTCAAGTGGTAGAGCACCTGCCTAGTAAGTACAAGGGCCCAAGTACTGCTAAAAAAAAAAAAATGGTAAGATACTATATTAACTTTCCGTGTTATTTGTCAGGCTTATATGGAGGTGAACAAGACAGGATTCCTGCCTTTAAGAAAGTAAGAGGCTAGTGAAAGAGACAGACATGAAATAAACACAACATTTAATGTGGTAACTATTAGGAGGAAAAATTTTGCATGCATGTACCCAGTGAATTTTTTTTATTTCTGATTATTATTAAGGAAGGCCACAAATAATAATACACACACACACACACACACACACACACACACACACACAGTCTATTTCTCACTTGTATGCACACATATACATAAATGTACATATATACCAATTTAATAGTTTTGTCATCTTTATTAAAGCATAATTTTAGCAGATGTAAACAACTTGTTTCCATACCAAAGTGAAGACCTAGAACAGCACTGTCCAGTGGAAAGTGATATGAGTTAGGTGATAGAACTTAGGGTTTATAGTAGCTGAGTTAAGGAAGCCAAATTAATTTTAATAATTGTCTTATTTAATCAGTGTATCAAAAATTATCATTTCAACATGTATTCAAAATAAAGTTATTAGTGAGACATTTTACATTCTTTTTTCTTGCTAAATCTTTGAAATCTAGTGTGTAATTTGTATTTACATCTAAAGTCATGCTAAATTTTCATCTAAATACTTGATTTATGCTTAGATTTCTTAAAATTTTGCATTTGAAAAAAGTAGATTCCCATACCCAAGTTTCTCCAAACATGGTTAAATTTTTTTAATAACCAAATCTACTTTTCGTTTTTAAAGATAAGCTTAAATTTATTTAAAATTGATTTAAAGTTTAGTTCCTCATTTGTATGGACCGCATTTCAGATGCTCAGTAGCCACACATGGCTAGTAGGCGCCCTACTGCACAGTTACACTGAGATCATCTTTATTACCCAAGGTTCCCTTGATCTCTTACTTTATGTAACATGACTTGTTTTTGATCTATTAAATGGCTATTTCCTTTTCATGCTTGGTAGTATTCCAGTAAATCTCTACATTCCAGTATGTCAGTCTGTTTGTTATCTGTTGATGAACATTAGGGTTGTTTCCAGTATTTTGCCATAATAATCAAAGCTGCTAACAGTCTTTGAATAAGCATGTGTTTTCATTTCTGTTGGCTAAATACCTAGCAGTAGACTAGTAGGTTACATGGTAAGTGTATGTTTATAGTTAGAAACTACCAAGCGGGGGTCTGGGAATGGAGTTCAGTATAGAGTACTTGTCTAGAATGCAGGAGGCCTTGGGTTCCATCCCTAGCACAGGGAGAGAGCAAGAAGCGCTCCTGAGCTGATTTCCACAGTAACTGTTTCATTTTATATTCCCATTGTTTCCCATCCTGCCGAACAGTTGGTATTGCAGGCTTTAATTTCAGCCACTAAGTGGGTGTGTTTTGCAGTGTTTCAATTTGCTTTTGCCCTAATTACTGATGCTGTTGATCTTCTAGTGTACAGAACACCCTTTTTTATGCCTTTCACTAAAATCTTCTAACTCTTCTGTCTGCTTTTTTATTTGGGTTATCGTCTTACTGAGGTGTTTTTGTTTTTGTTTGCAGTACTGGGGTTTGAACTCAGGGCCCTCAGCTTGAGCCACTCCGCCAGCCCTATTTTTGTGCAGGGTTTTTCAGGATAAGGTCTCACAAACTATTTGCCCGGGCTGGCTTCAAACTGTGATCCTCCTGATCTCTGCCTCCTGAGTAGCTAGGATTACAGGAGTGAGCCACCAGTGCCCAGCCGTCTTACTGAGTTTTAAGTTTTAAGTGTTCTTTATTCTAAATACTAGTGTTTGTCAGATACATGTTTTGGAAATATTTTTCTCCTAGTCTATGGCTTGCCTTTTTATTTCTTAACAGTCTCCAAAAAATTTAAAGAGCAAAAATTTTGCATTGAAGTCCAGTTAATAAATAAGTTCACCCCCCCTTCCTAAGTTAAATTTTGTATGTGATATGAAGCAGAAATGAAGTTTTTGGATTTTATTTATTGACTTATTTTTGCATGTAGATGTCTACTTCTGGCACCATTTATTGAAATGCTGTCTGTGTTCCCACCTTTGTCAGAAATCAGCTTATCATGTATGTGTGATTCCATGTCTTCTGTTCCTTTGGTC